TCACCTCTCCCCCCCCCCCCCGCTTATTCACCGATCGGCTTTGTCGGCGCTAAAAAAATTCTTAAGATTTTGGCCCCCCCCCCTCTTGTCGCCGGCTGGATCCTCTGCCGGCGCTAAATTTTTCCTCAAAAACTGGATCAAAAACAAACAAAATTGTGCTCCCCCCCCCGCCCGGCTTAGTCGGCGCTAAATTTGTTCTTAAGATTTTGCCCCCCCCCCCGCCCTTGTCGCCGGCTGGACCCTCCGCATTCGCGGATCCACGTTTGGGGGGGGGGGGCCGAGGCCTGACGGTTCAAAAAAAAATTCTCACGAATTAGGCCAAAAAAAACAAAAAACAGTGCTCTCACCCTACCCCCCCCCCCCCCGCTTATTCACTGGCCGGCTGAGTCCGCGTAAAATATTTCCTGGAAAATTGGACCCCCCAAAAAAGTGCCTCTTCCCCCCCCCCCCCGCCTTTTCACCGGTGGCTAAGTCGCAACTAAATATTTTCTCACGGATCGGCCCCCCCCCCCTCTTCCCGCCGGCTGGATCGGCTGGATCCGCCACTGCCAACAACCCCCTCTCTCTTTTACTCCCACCCCTCCTGTCTCAGGTTCCTACCTCCCCTCTCTTTGCCCTTTCCTTTTCCTCTCTTTTCTTCTCTTTTTCCCTTTCTCCTTTTCTTTCTTTTCCTTTCTTTCCTCTTCTTCCTTTTTAAAATTTTTTTTTTTACCTTTCTTTCTTCTCTCCTCTTTCCTTTTTTCCATTTCTTTTCCTTTCTTTTTTTTCTTTCCTTTTCTTTTCTTTCTGTTTCCCTCTCTTTTTTTCCTCCCCTTTTCTTTTTTTCCCCGACGGCAGCGCAATTTGAACGACAATATCCTGACAGGTGCATGGGGGGGGGGTGTCACACCCCACACCCCCCCTTTAGAGACGCCCCTTGCAAGGGGCCATCACGGCCCTCCCCAAAAACATATGCCCGTATGTTCTATGTATACTAGGAAAATAAAACCTGTATGTTGAATTTTGGATTGGGCTGACGCGAAACTTTTCAAATCCTAAATGGGTGCCGTGACCCGTGACTATATATATTTAAAAAAAAAGGGGGGGGGGGTGTGCAAAACGCTGATCTAGTAGACTAATGGCTGGTGTACCCCCTTCCATGACTGAACCACAGTGTAAATCACCATTTAAAGGGCCGAGGAGTGAACTTCTCTTTTTTTCTCACACTATATTGGTTAAAAGTATGTTAAAAGTATCAATCTGACATTTTGAAAACGGGGTCACTCCTCGCCCCCCTTTTGAAAATATTTTTTATTTGTTATTTAAAAAAAAAAATATTGCTGTTTTTATTGGTAAATCAAAAGAAATAATTTACTTAGGCTAATTAGAAACAAATTCACTAAACAGAATAAAGCAATACAAATAAAATAAAGTATGGTACGAAATCAAATTTAACAGACTGAGGCAGAAAATCGAAACGTTACAAATCCTCGTCCCTCCCTTAACTGGTGATCATTAACATGTTAGCTTTTTGAGTTTCCAACTCAATTCACACGTTCAACAAGTTTGAATAGGGAATATAAACCATATCTATCTACATAAATTAGTCTGCACACCATTGTTTTAATAAAAGAAGTACATTATTTTAATAAATAATAATACATATGATTTATAAGGCGCCAAATCCACTTGACAGTCAAATGCTCAAGGCGCAGCTTGTGCAAAAGATGAAATACATACATGATACATTTATACAAAGTGCGATAGGAAAGGTACAGACATGAAAGGTAATGGTAATCAATTATAAGCTAAATTAAACAGATATTTCTTAAGATTGTTTTTTAACACCTCAGCAGAACTGCTATTCTTAACCCATTGAGGGAGAGTATTCCATAACGAAGGCCCAGCATGAGCGAAGGTTCGTTCCCCCCACTTTGTTTTAACCCTAGGAGTAACAAGTAAGCCAGAGTTTTGAGAACGTAGCTGTCTAGAAGGAAAGTAATGCTTAATCAAGCCGATGTTATACTGCGGAGCAGAGCCATGTATACAGTGAAATAATAGCAAAATAATCTTGAAAACAACACGTTTTTCTACGGGCAACCAATGGAGTGATTTGAGGACTGGTGTGATGTGACTGTACTTGTTGGACAGGGTCACGACACGAGCAGCAGCATTCTGTAATCTTTGTAATTTTGCGAGTAGGTTGTGAGGCGAACTAAACAAAAGGCCATCGATATGAACTATACATTACTAATAATACCACAGATAGATACAAATGTATGACAGAGCAGTAGAAACTAGAGGAGGTAATATATAAATAAATTTCATTTCAATCTCCCAGTTGTTTTTATTTTAACTAGTTTATTGATTAAAACCATGCATTAAAAACAGCAGCCACAAGCTGAAACTAATTGAATTTGCAAAAGGTTAATATATTCCACTAAACTACAATACATTCAAAATAGGTTAGGTGAAATACAGTAATATTTAAAGTAGGATTAATATTGCACACAAAAATCAACAACAAAATACAAAAAGACAGGGGAATGAAAAGTAGAGACGATATAAATCTTGATATAGAAAAAGAGGAAGAAATGTAGGTGACGTAATCGAAATAATTTAACACAGAACGATTCAAATTCAGATTCATTGGCAGTAATTAAAAAGTAAATATTTTTTGGAGATATGTATGGATAATAACATTCAGAATAGCAACATAATTTCAACCAATAATGAGAGTTTTTTTAATCGAAATATAAATAACAGGTTCTAGGACGCCTACCCCCTGGACATTCACCCCCCCGGATAACCACCCCCAGTTAACTACCCCCTAGGGCAACCACCCTCTAGGACGACTACCCCTTGGACAACTACCCCCGGACAACTACCCCAGACAACTACCCTTAGGACAACTACCACCGGACAACTACCCCCTAGGACAACAATCCCCGGACAGATACCCCCAGACAACTACCCCCAAACAACTACCCCTACGACAACCGTCCTCTAGGACACCCACTCCTGGACAACTATCCTAGGGGGTAGTTGTCTGGAGGGGTAGTTGTCCTAGGGAACAGTTAACTGGGGGCGGTTATCTGGGGGTGGATGTCCAGGGGGAAGTAGTCCGGATACACAAATAAAAATAATACAGGATATTAAATACAATTATTAAACCGATAAGTATTGCAATTGATGAGCCACATATTCATCTAGCGTTTGATATACACTGTCGCTCATAAAGGTGGAATATATTTTGTTTATCCCAATTCATGGTATTATATTAAAGGCCCACTACACTACTTGTAGCTACTTGCGCCCTCTATTATAACAAACCATGCCTAATCGGTGACCATTGGTCCCCCATGATCCTCTTTTTCTTATGTTAACTGAGAGCTGAGTTGATGAGATAACCACCTGTCCAGGGACCTTGCAGGGCAGTCCAATCCCTCCTGTAAACTATGGCAGATACGCTTTAAAAAAAATAAAAGTAATAGATCAGATAATAGTATACATTCTCAGATTTTATTGAACAATAATTTGCCAATGTGTGCTTTGCGTGACTGCTAAAGCATGCTACTATGCTTATCAACTAGGGGACCTATGCCCTTAAGTCATAAATGACAGTAATGAGGATTAATGCCCCACAAAAGGGCACTAATAAAGCACATCGACACGGTTTTGATCATGGGGCCTCACAGTTACGAGGCCAATGCTTTGTCACTGAACCATGACTGTACGCAGCGGGTGCTAGGGTAAGGGGCATTTGCCATCAATAAAAAAAAAAACACAGAAAATGCAATAAATTTTCAATAATTTATTGCATTTTACCCCGGTTCCCAACATAAAACATCTTCTGTGTGCCCATGCCTTGAGCCATAATGCATGGCCGTCCAGAGGATTTTTTCTATGTTGGGTACCGGGGTAAAATGCAATAAATTATTGAAAATTTATTGCATTTTCTTTTCTTTTTTTAATTTATGGAAACTGCCCCCTACCCTAGCCCCCGCTGCGTACAGTCATGGTTCAGTGACAAAACAATGGCATCGTAACTGTGAGGTCCCAGGATCAAAACCGTGTGGATGTGCTATATTAGTGCCCTTTTGTGGGGCATTGATCCTCATTACTGTCACTTATGACTTGAGGGCGTAAGTCCCCTAGTTAATAAGCATAGTAGCATACACATGCTTTAGCAGTCCCGCAAAACACACATTAGCAAATTATTATTCAAAATTATTATAAAATCTGAGAGTGTAAACTATTATCTAGATCTATTATTTTTAAATAATTTTTAAAATAATTCCATAAATTGGGGTAAAACTAAAATATTCCACTTTTATGAGCGACAGTGTACATAATATCAAAAACACATCCGATCGCTGCATGGCTGTATTGCATGAATAAAAACACACAACCAGATATTTCAATTGTGTTTTGACAGAATAGCTTCGCAGCATTAGGTATAGCAGAAAGCAGCAGTTAAATAGATATATAAAACTCATGAAATAAATACTAATATACAAATAATTGCTAGTGATCAAATTGAGAATCAAATATAAAATTAGATGTTGATTAGAAATAAACATTGCATTGCTATACAGGACCGCGTGTGGCCCACACTTAATCCATTTCTTACTGGAACCGGGTGGCCCCTGTGTTAAGCCGATGGGAATTAGATAATAAGGTAATACAAGTCCAATGAAGAGAATTGAATGGATAACTTTTCATGAGAGTTTGCTGTGCGGGGAAGACAACAATTATTCGGCCCCTGGGCATCCGGATTTGCCTACCCCACTGGTAGTATGGTTACTGAACAAAATGATACTTGGATATTATGATTATGGGATAGTTAGGTCGAAACGTATTAGTGTATAGGCTATAAGTTCCAGACCAAAATGATCATTCGAAACGCGGGTATTACTTCATTAGACGAAGTGGCATTGGACCAAATGACAATTTTGACCACGCAAAAGCAACGTCACGCCCCTGGAAAAATAAATCCTCGAACAAAAGAGGGCACTCTTTACTCTTTTTTTTCTCCACAGCAGCTTACCCAAGGATCGAGGAAGCGTATCCTTTTCTCCCGTAAACTTGAACCAGAAAATCTGCAAAATTATGAGGTAGGTCCAATATTTTGCTATGAAATGTTTTGGAAAATGTTCTTCTGTATTAATAACATTATGTGAGCATTTTGGCAATCTTTATGGTTACATTGTCTTCGTGCAATTTGAAGATTTGTGTTGGTATTGACTCAAGATTGTTGCGGGAATCCCACACAGAGTTGGATATTCTGGCTGAATCCGCCCTACAATCTACATTGTAATTTGTACATGAACATGATTGGGCTACCATAACATAAGGCACACATTGTATGCAAAGGCTATAACTTGTAAGTTGTCTAACATGTCTATTGGCAATGCATCGTTTTAAGTTCAATTCTTTTCTGCTTCTTGATTCTACATGATACAGTATTCTGAAGTTATCTTTTGGGAGAAAAAAGTATGACTGACAGACAGTTTATACATTGTCAAATAACGCATGATGTTCAACTTTCTTCAAGACTCCTCTGAGACTGAGTCTGACAATGTCTGACTCTGACTTGTTAGTTTTAATGCCAAATTAAGGGTGGGCCTCAGTCTGCACACCTGAAATTTCACCTGATATTGACAAGGATATTCTATTGTATTCTCCTAATGCTTCCTTATTAAATAAGTCAGTGTGCCAAATTTCTGTTGGGAGTCGGCAAGATGTAATGGCAATGTAATTTTCAAAAGAAAAGGCTGCGGTGCAGTGTCATTGCAAAATCAAAGGTGCCCATGTCTGCGCACTCATTATTATACATGCAGTACAAGATTTTTTACGTAAAAGATAGCATTTCAAAGCTTGTGGATAAAATAAACTTTAAAAAGTAAGTTAGAAATTCTTACTACCGGATATTTTTTTTTCTTCACACATTATTTACGGCTGAATGTCTAGGCCTATCGCTAATACTCTGGAGACAGATATTTTGTGTAGGTTGAGTGTTTAAAAAAAAAAAAAAAAAATCAAAATCAAAATCAAAATCAAAGTTACAAGCAGTTACCGTATGTCAGATGTACTAAAGAGGAGGTGAGTTGGCTCTGACGGTAAAACGTCTGCCTTTCAAACCAAAGATCGTGGGTTCAATTCCAATCCAGGCAAATGACTGAAGCCTGTGTTGTGTGTTTACAAGCCCCTCCCCTGTTTCATAGACACAGGCTATGTTTCTATGGAAAATGCTCTGTCCGTCGGATAGGACTTTAAATGGAGACTCTGTGTACAGGAGAGGCACTACCTTTGCATGTTAAGAACCGACTGCACTATTCAGGGCTTAAATTAATCCAAGGCCACCAAGGCGGATCAAGCAGATCAAGCAGGCCACATACCTTACGTACGTCCGACCAGTGATGGAATATGCTGCAACAGCATGGGAACCACACACACAGCGGAATATCAACAAGATTGAAATGGTCCAACGAAGGTGTGCTCGCTACGTCACCGGTAACTTTAATCAAACCTCCAGTGTAACGGCTATGCTTGAAAACCTGAATTGGCCATTGCTACTCACCAGACGGCTTCACAGCCGCCTTGCCATGCTTTATCACATCCGTTTCAACCTTGTCGACGTTACCTAGCAGTCCTTTCTCACTGAACTGACATCAGTGAAAAAAATACACGGGGGCTCGGGGCGAATTAGCCCCCAAAATGCTAAAAAGAGCCCCCGAAAGTCATAAAAGAGCCCCAAAAATTTGCATAGAGTTCAATGCAAAACAAATTAAAGAGTCTTATTTTCATGCAAGCAAGCTTGAAAAGTAGCCCCCGAATTGTTTAAAGTATTTTTTTCCCTGACTGACATCAATAACAAGAGGACTTGGATCTCGTTTTAGGACATTCAACTGCAGTAGTCAGACCTATGCTTCTTCCTTCTTCCCAAGAACCTGCAAGGACTGGAACAACCTCCCACAGGACCCAGCCCAATACTCCTCTCTTGATGCCTTCAAGGTCTTCTTGAGTGGGATGCAGATGTAATGTCTACAAGACTGGGAATGCTTTTACTTACACATGTATGTATGCACCTGCACAACAAGAACAACAAGTTAAAATGTGGAATAACAGGACATGTGAAAGTCTCCACATATACACACACAACCAGTGCGATTATCTTCATCACCTTGAAGCGGCACTTGAATGGAAGAAGAAGAGGAAGAAGGCCATGGCCGTGGATGCCCCTTTGATTGGCCTCAATGCCCCTCTCATTGGCCTTGGAGATTTTTTGTACCCTTTCCAATCCTTTCTATTTGTGCTGTAATATAGGAATGTGCCCTACAGAAAAGTGGACTTGCCCTAAAAATATTGAAATTTAAGGCCTGACTATTCATATTGAGTAGAGGGAAACCCTGATGTAGTGGTGCAGTTGTACAGTTGTACCAGAAGGAGAGACCGTAGGGTAGTGATTCAGCTCGTTTTTCGACTACCATGCATAGATATTGGGCACTCCTAACTAGATATACTGAGGCACCGGCCGGTTTAGGGAACTCTCTCCCATTTGAGAGACTTACCGGTATCTACTTCTTCCAGTATTAGGGACTTTTAGATTTGCACAACGACAACGTGGATTGCTACACTGTATGATCGACGTCCTTTTAATGCACTGCCTTGAATGGACGTCACATGTATCAGTCCACGCAAATCTAAAAGTCCCTATTGTACAAACCACCGTTGTTGTATTATCATACCTTGTGCTTGTCAAGAGCAGAGTGTAACAGTGCAAATAAAATGTCTCTACAAGAAATCTATGTGCGGCTGCAACAGTCTGAAGCTTAATATGTTGCACCTTCTGCTTGAAGAGTTCAAAGGAGGTGCAATTGATGACAGCAGGTGGTAAGGAGTCCCCAGCCACATACATGTAGCATCTGGGTGGAATGTTGGTTTGGAATTGTTGCGTTCCAGCAAAGGGGACCTTGAACTTTTGTTCTGTGTACTGTATTTTTAGTTTTGTTCACCTTTTTCTTAAAATATTAAAAAAATGTATTCTTAGAATCTTTTTTTGCCAGATTTCATCTCATTAAGACATGTCCATTTGTGATACGATAACCAATGAGAAATGTGGTTAGATGTCAGTGTCATCATATTCAGCCAATAGTATCACTCTCAAATTTGAGATAAAAAGTGGTCTCGGAATACTGATTATAATTTAGAGATATAATGATGCTCAAAATATCGCCAATTATTTTCATTTATATGTAATATGTACGAAACAGGCTGTTTGTGGCCACGTATTTGATGGATGGTTATTGTTTACCTGACTGCTAAGAAAGCAAGTATTTGTTTGTAGGTAAACAACCAGGAGACCGACGGCTTTTAGTCCTCTCCAAGGGATTTGGTAATGAGGATTAATGCCTTAGAGAAGGGCACAAGCGCATTGACTTGGTTTCGAACCTGGGACATCTTGGTTACGAGACCACTGAGCGATCAGGCCTCCTCATTTTATAAAGTCAAGTTAAACAGAAACAGTGACATCAGTAAATTGTGTTTTATTCTACCATGTGGAGGTCAAAGTTCAAACTATGTACCCTATACTTGATTCATTTCAGAGTATGATGAAACAGAATGGAACAGCCTGGTCCTACTAACTCTTCCTATAAGGATCCCGATGAGACTATACGTGACCTTATTGGCCTGATCGGGGGTATGTATCAACTATCAATGAGTCGTAGTGCAATACTTCTGCTTACTCATAGCCATTATTTAGTGTGTTATAATGTGTGTGTCTACCATGCCTTGCAATGTCCTTTTAAGATATAACAGAAATTCATTTAATATGACTTCAAACAATTTATGTTGTTTGAACTTTGAAGTCATGATATAACAACAGTAGCTATCATATCAAGATTCAAGATTTATTTATTTCTTTCCACTGACATGAAAATAATACATTCATGAACAGTAACAACAAGTTCATCGTCAACAAGAAAGATATAAAGACATTGAAAATGTGGAAATGAGGCGGTCTGTAAAAAAACACAACTTCTTAAACACATAAATATTAGCTCCAATTTTCACCTCAATTGTTTTCCCAGTTGATCAGCAAAGCTTTGGACAATGAGAAAAAGCTATTTTGGGAACTTTAAACTTTATCAGGATATAATCAGGAAAGTACTATTTACACCTGTATGTATACGTTTAAACGGTGAATTTTGAGTGATTAAAAAAAATATTCCAAACATGAGTACATATTAAAGTCCTGAAATTTTTGTCAAAATGTGATTTTTTTTTTCCCCACCTCTCTTCTCATGTGTTACAAAAATTAAGTAAGAAAGTAACAAAATCACACCTTTGTGTTTTGATTGGTAGCATACTCAGGAGAGCAGGGAGCACAGCGAGGCTTCCTTGCTGCCCATGCCAACCATCTGAGTCATCAGGAGCTGGTAGAGAGAGCCAGAAGAGTACCGGTACCTGACCAAGGTGATGGCCATCGGCACCAAGCATTCAACTACCTGGTGGCCGCTGCTCAAAGATATGGCCTCCCTCTGCAGGAAGGTGGGCTTACTGGTATGCTTATTTTTGTAGTGATAATAACAATAATATTAATAAGCATTTCTATAGCGCTGTCTATCTAGAAATTCTATTCCAAGGCACATTTATTATATTCCTGGCTTTAGCCTAGCTGCCATTACAGCGCTCCAGCATTTCAAGGAATTAATTCCGGCCAGGTACCCACTTACCTCACCTGGGTGGAGTGTGGCAAATGAAGATTAATGCATGCCAAAGGACATAAGTGCCGTGTCAGGGATAGAACCACAACCTTTGAATTTCAAGTCAAGTGCTTAAACCACTCTACTACCACACTTCTAGTATTCCAAATTTAGAATCAATTTCCTTTGGGAGGTTGTCGTCAACCATTAAAGATCAAAGTTGAGGAATTATTTTTCAGGGATGTAAAGTTTTTCAGATTTTTATGGAACATTGGATTTTTGTAATAAAAATGCAAAGATGCCTGGGTCTACTATTATTATTAATGTGGCATCCAGAAATCATTTGAAAATACCTGTTTGCATGATTATGTTGGGATTCCCCTATCCCGTCGACATCAGACCTAAGAAAGCAACTGTAAAGTTGTGAAGTTTAGTTCCTGAGAAGGATGTTAAGAATTTCATGGACAGAAAGAGTTTCTAATAATGAGGTATTTGCCATGGCAGGAACAAGACGAAAGCTTGTGAATAATATAAGAGGTCGACAGATGAGCTTCTTGGGTCGTTATACGAGAGAATGGTTTGGAAAATCTTGCACTGACTGGAAGAATCGAGGGGAGGAAGAGTAGGGGTAGAGGGAGGATTCTGTAGATGAGTAGCTTAAGGAATGGGATTTCTGAAAGTGGAATATCATGATCTCAGGGAGAATGAATTACTTCATAGAATATGGGACAGAGAGTTGTGGCATTCCGTCGGTCGCCAACGTCTCAGGACATGGCACGTAGAGAGAGATTTATCAATGGCAAAAGGATAATCATATTTTCTGTGCACTACAGCAGCATACTCCAGAGGAGAGGTCCCTAGCCAGCCTGAAGAAAGATCCTTGCCTGTTGCACCCCATCACATCCATCTACCCAATCAAGAGATGATGGAGAGGGCACATTCTGTAGGGGTTGAGAGACGGCTGTCTGCTGGTAGCCATCAACCAGAACCCTTGCATTACCATTCTAATGCACCCAGTCATGCCCAGCATGGTGAGTCAGTAGCCTTGATCTGTAATGTATTATTGTACTTGTATTGTAATTTTGTTTTAAAATATACCCTGATTGTATGTAATTTTGTTAAATATCATGTTGTTAAACTGGGACCCTCCACTATTTAAGCCTGTCTGTACTATTTTGGCCAGGAGGGATTAGACCTCCCTGCAAGGTAACCGTCAGGTGGTTATTTCGTCAGATCAGCTCTCAATTAACATGAGAAAAAGGGGCTCATGGGGGACCAATGGTCACCGATTAGGCATTGTTTGCTACATAGAAGGCGCAAGTAGCTATAAGTAGTGCAGCGGGGCTTTAAAACATACTCTGATCATACATAATTTTGTTGACTATCATTTTGTAAAAATAGGACCCTCCACAATTTTATATTGTAGTTTTATTGCTGTATTTGCCCTTGTGTTCACATTGTTTTAAAATGGAAATATATGAATTTACTGTGTTTACGCAGTGACTGAGCTCATAGGAACTTATACATTTTCATGCTTTCAAATATTTGAAATAAGCTCATACTTACCCATCCAGTGTACATGTATGAGGTTATAATATAACCTTCTACCCCTTCAGGAAATAATATGGTCATGGTGAAAAAAACATTTGCCGCCATTTTCTGCTCAAGTACTACCAGCAAGAATAAACAAATGTAGTTTTCCTCTCCCAGCAATGAGAGGGCAGCACATAGAGCTGTTAGATAGAGCCATTTATATACAGAGTTTGGCCAACTTGGTTTCACTGGGTCACAACATGGCGTATATTCTTTTGTTTTGTGCTTGCCAACAAAGCAGCAGTAGCCATATTGTGTCCAACTCGAACCTGGTTGGCCCAACTCTGTGTATAGAGTGCGTCCCAGTAAAAACGAAACCAAGATTTATTGATGTTTTATCATAACTTAATCACATTTATAATTAATAAATGACACATATTTGGAAAGCTTAGATCCTCCTCTTTCATTTGATGCAACTCATTATGATGCATATTTCACGCATGAGTGATTAAAATGAATTTGAAGAGAGGAAACCGAAAAGTCGTTTGGCTGGCGGTATCTGAATATCAAAGAGAAAATCACATTTCTAGAAAGTTGGGTTTCTGCCCTTTCATATGACACCTCAATCAGGAAAAATGGGCAAGGAATGACAAAGTTCTGTTTGTTTAAAGTAGTACTTGCATTTCAATAATTTTAGCAAACAAATTCGTTTTCACTGGCTGCCTGCAGTGGCAAAAAGCAGAATAGACAAAAGACGTAACTCCGTTTCGTTGACAATCAGCCATGCATGAAGTCTTTCGTCTACGGCTGATTGTCAACGAAACGGAGTTAAGTCTTTTGTTAATTTCGTTTGTTGATACGGCAGGCAGCCAGTGAAAACGAATTTGTTTAATCAAATTATTGAAATGCAAGCACTACTTTAAACAAACAGAACTTTGTTATTCCTAGCTCATTTTTCCTGATTGAGGTGTCATATGAAAGGGCAGATACTCAACTTTCTAGAAATATGATTTTCTCTTAGAAATTCAGATATCGTCCGCCAAATGACTTTTTGTTTTCCTCTCTTCAAATTGATTTTAATCACTCATGCGTGAAATATGCATTATTATGAGTTGCATCAAATGAAAGAGGAGGATCTAACCTTTCCAAATATGTGTCATTTATCAATTATAATTGTGATTAAGTTATGATAAAACATCGATAATTCTCGGTTTCGTTTTTATCTGGGACGCACTGTAGATGGCTCTGCTGTTAGATATTCCACACCTAACATTTCTATCCAAATTATTATAGCATTTATTGAGTGGCCACATTAATATTAAATTGAGCACTTGGGTCACCTCTTTTCAGCATTTAATTTAGTTTTACTTCCGACAATTTTCTTCGAAAAATGCTATCACTGTTTTCACAAGTAAGAGTGAATGTTTGCAATACTAACCATGGTAGAATAAAGTACAATTTACTGATGTCATTGTTTCTGTTTAACTTGACCTGAAAACTTAAGAGGCCTGATTGCTGAGTGGTAGAAGAGCAGTGGTCTTTTAACCAAGAGGTCCCAGCTTAGAAACCAAGTCAATGCGCTTGTGCCGGAACAAGCTTCTGTAAGGCATTAATCCTCATTACCAAGTCTCCTAGTTGTTTACTTACAAGCAAATACATGCTTGCTTTCTTAGCAGTCAGGTAGACAAATAATGTAACATTTTTCCTCATGTGACTGAGTACCTTTTGTATTTGATTTGTTCTGCAGCATACCAAAGACCTGCTTCAGCAGGACCGTTGGTCCATCGTCCACCCATGCACCAGGAGATAATGACTAACAATGCCCCTCATTCAGCAGATTCAATCGTCAGAGAAGGTACATTCTTCACTTATTAATTCCTGTATTTATCACTTGACTTGAAATTCAAAGGTCATGGTTCGATCCCCGATTCGGCACTAATGTCCTTTGGCAAGGCACTAATCTTCATTGCCACACTCAACCCAGGTGAGGTGAATGGTTACCTGGCAGTAATATTAATTCCTTGAAATGCTAGAGCGCTGTAATGGCAGCTACATGTAGGCTAAAGCCGGGGTAAAAATAAATGCGCCTCGGAATAGAATTTCTTGATAGAACGCGCTATAGGATTGCCTATTATTATTATTAAGTTTGTTGTGACCTGGGGACAGGTTGTATAAAACATTATTGTGAAAATACCAGTTTCAGAAAGTATATGGTATGCAGGCGAGGGCATTTAGAGACAAAATGTGCATTCATCCTGTTTGTGTTTTGTAATGTCCATACATACTACTTCCTACTGACAAAGTTTGGTGCTTTGGCTAGATGGGGTGAAATCAACCAAACTTTAGGGTCTGTAGACAATCGCACTACCAGTATGAGGTCACTACGCTTCTGAGCCGATTTAGAATTTCCTCTCTGAAGGAGGCATTAAAACCCAATAAATTTTAAATTTAATCTACCATAATACTATTCAGATCCTCAGTCATTAGGAATTTACATGCTTGAATGTTCAATTTAAATACTTTTTCCCAAAATCTGATCGTAGTCAAATCGTACAGTGTGTAGTTGGCCTAAGACAATTAGTAGTTGATTAGAAGACACCAAGAATTAGATGGCAACATATTTTGTCGTAATGGAAGGCATTGTTATAATGAATTAATTTCAATGTCATGAAAGCAACTTAGAAACTTAGCAAATCTGCAATCTTCCATCAATTTCTCAGCATATGTAAGATCAATGGCTGGAGAAGAAGGAGATCAACCAGATTACTTACATCACTCTGGAGGACAGTCTACCACTCGCCAAACTGATAGCACATCTGTCATTCAAAAAGGTGAATTACAGTAATCTTATCAATCATTCAGGATGGTAATGTAATTTCATATATCATTCGAGGGGGGTGTTTCACAAAGATCGTAGGTAAAACTTAACTCTAAGTTAGACTTAACAATTATGGAAAGCCGTTAGCATCTATTTTAAAAGGCATCAAATATTGATTCATATCATTCATATTCTCTATTATCAAGGAGATTTCATGTTCTTGATATGGAATTTATAAAAGTCTAAAATACTTGAATTTTCACTATATTTTGTTTTAAGGCTACAAAAGGCTCTCCATAATGTGCAAGTCCAACTTAGAGTTAAGTTTGACTTAGGATCATTGTGAAAAATCCCGAGGTGAACTAATAAACAAGTAATTAACAACTACTCTGGTGGTGGGACAATTATCATCACAGAGGTGATTTCAGGGCTACTGTGTTCCCCAGCTGAAGGTGAGGGAAGATGGTGTAGCCCCTGAGATCACGGAGGTGATGATGGTTTGTCCACCCACTGGAGTGAAGGATGTGATTCTTTGCATTATATCCCATGTCAACAATACTTTTCTAATGAGAAGAGGAATGATGAACACAAAAGTCAACACTGAACTCTTTACAAACATACTATTACCCGGTCATTGGATTCAGTGCTTGCCCGCACACACTGTGTGAACAATCTCCACTCCCTGGGTAGCATTCCAGCCAGGCGTTAAATGGGTATTGGTAGGAAGGGATTCCTTGAAAGCTGTGAGCACCGAAATCTGCTGCCTAGCAGAGCCGGGTAATAGTTGGAGCACCTTGAGAACCATGCATGGTGGATATGTGTGCTATACAAAAATCCAATATTTTTATAATATGATGTTTTGAATAATTAAATAATTAATTAAATAATATTATGTTTGTTTGAATTTCAGCGTATGAGCAGGTGATGGGAACCCAAGAATCTCCTGCTTCTCCGTCTCCTCCTGCACCTTCACTTCAGGCTCAACCTAATACAGCTACCATCACTGTGTCTCAGCTAGAGATCCTCAGTCGCCAACAACAGCTACAACAACAACATCATCCGCCTCCTCTGCCTCCTCAGTCTGCTCGTCATGGCAACGGTAAGGTCACGCCTTCTTTTATTATTTCATCCCATCAACTTTATGGCCCGAATTCACAAAGGAGGTTTAAATTTAAGCCATGGTTTAAACCCTACTTTACCTCTACCCATGGTGTAAAATTAGCGCAAATTAGAACAGGAAGATTGGGAGATTCTTCTGCAATATTATCTATGAATTTCCTTGGAGAATGGCTGGACATTTTTTAAGATGGTGCCAAACCGAATCTCACTGCATTTTTGACACCCTGTATAGTTATTGGCTTCATGCTCCCCGTTGTAACCCTGATTATCATTAGAGTGTGTTGTCCAGAGTGCAGACCATTCTCATATTTACCCATACATTTTGTTTAAAGTACACAATGTGGTAATACCTATCTTTTGTTTCTTCTTCTTCTTTTACAGACCACATAAAAATACCCACCAGCTCTGAGAATATTGAACCTCAACAACCAGACGTCAAGTCCCAGCAGGATAAACAGGAGATTGAATTGCGTCCTACAACTGAAAGCACCGGTAGCCTGGAGCAGAGAGCACCAGAACCCGTGGCAGAACAACAAGTACAGCAGTTTCCTCGAAGGGAAGGTGATGAGAAGGGTGAAGGCCACCAAAATGGTGATTCCATTGAAAGCACAGGTAAGACTGTCGAGTCTGGGTTAGTCAATTTTGGAGTGAAGCAGAGTACCAAGTGTGCCAGCTGTCTGGCCGCATTCACACCAGCAGACGGTGAGGTTCAACCAGGGGTTCTCCCTCTGTGCCACACGTGTCTGGAGCGGTTTACCAGTACCCTACCGAGATGTAAAGAATGTGGTAAGAAGCTCACAACAGATGAAAGTCTTATTACTCACCAGTGTGATGGGCAGGGGGAAAGTTTTATGTGTGAGGTATGTGGGAAGGTATTCAGCTTGGCTAAACACCTTTCTCGTCATAAGGTTGTCCATAACCCCTTCAAGGCTCACGAGTGTGCCCATTGTGGAAAGCGATTCGGACGGATGGAACATCTGAAACGTCATCGGCTCACCCACGCAGCCAACAAGCCTTATATGTGCGACAAGTGCGGGAAGACGTTCAGTCGCAGTGACAATCTCAACACTCACAAGTGCAATCTAGGCGAACCTCGTCCCAGACAGAAGAGGAAGCCTCTCACTTTTGAAGACACTGGAGAAGTTCATCCCTGCGACATGTGTGACAAAAAGTTCCCCACCCATCAGAAGTTGAAGCGCCACAAGCGACAGCACAGTCAGTCTAAACCCCACCAGTGCAACCAGTGTGAAAAGTCCTTTTCATGCATAAGTCATTTAAAGCGCCATAAGATGGGTCATCTTGGAGTGAAGCCGTTCTCGTGTACTCTCTGTGGAAAGTCCTTTGGCACAACCAGTCATCTCAACAGACATATGATGACGCATACTGGCAGCAGCACTCTGTTCAAGTGCAAGAAGTGCACTGCATTTTTTAGCACGTCGGAACAACTCAAGGAGCACTACCAAATACACATGCAACAACCACATCCTCCCATCAGCACCAACAGCCACTTTCCTCTCTTACTCAACAAGGATCCTTCGAATGAAGATACCAGGCAGAGTCATTTTCCTGTACACTATGAAGAGGCTGATGATAGGGAGCACAACACAGATATGTACTGCTGCCACATCTGTAAGCGATACTTCAATAACCCTATCAGTCTGAATCAACATAATTGCTTTCCTGCAGATGAGAGCCATAATCATGGCTCTTCCATGCAAGAATCTTTTACATCTCCTCCTGCTTCAGGCAGTAGTAACCAGTACAACTCAGAAATGACATCCCCACCCTTATCTGCACCCATATCTGCACCCATATCTGCACCCCTATCTGCACCCCTGCCAACTCAGCCCGAGGTAACAGCTCCGGTATCTACTCTACCCCAGCCCCTTGAAGCTCTTGGATTATCAGCCAAGGTTGTACAGCCTTTGCCATCTCAAAGTTATAAAGATTTGGAGCAGACTACACATCACCTGCTAGCAGTAGCAGAGAAGGCAAGTCACCCAGAGGCGTATACAACTAAAGAGAAAGGCAACGAATCAGAACAAGACTTACCCAGAAGTTTAAACGAGATAGATCCTAGTAAAGAAATTGCAAACGAGAAGATCCAGTTGATACATACTGTGATCAAGGACCAAACCTTCACTGATGAAGAAATTCAGAAAAGACTCTTTACATGTAAAGTGTGTGGTATTTTCTGTGGTTCCCTAACTGGTCTCCAGCTGCATGTACAAGTCCATACACTTGAACGCCCGTTTAAGTGCGAAACTTGTGGCAAACGATTTAGAAGACAAAGTCATATGGAACGTCATCGCCTCATCCATTCTGGTGTCAAACCATATTCATGTGATATTTGTGAGAAGACGTTTACCCGTCCTGATAACCTGAATTTCCATCGAAGTACTCATTTCAAGAATGAGGAATGTGAACCGATTCCCTGTGGAACCTGCGGAAGAAAGTACCCAAATGTTGAAATGTTTGGAAAGCACAAGTGCATGGATCCAGCAACAGCTGCCAAATTGCCTGTTCATCTTCGCCCCAAAGTGAAAAGGTACTACATTGGTGAGAATGAAGAAAAACCATGTGACGTGTGTGGCAAGGTGTTTAGGTCGGGAAGCAGATTGACGAGACACATGTTGATTCATTCTAGGCCGAACAGCTTCAAATGTGATGTCTGCTCTAAGGTCTTTAATAGGCGTGATCACTTAAAGAGGCACCAGCTTACTCATTCAGGCATCAGGCCATACGGCTGTACTCAGTGTGGCAAGCGGTTTGTACGCAATGATCATTTGCAGCATCACATGCGTTGTCACCTCATTAGTGAGGCAGGGAACAAGGGCAGAGGAGGAGGAGGAGGAAGGGGCAGAGGAAAAGGCAGAGGGAGACCAAGAGGTGTCGGGAAAGGGAGAGGAAAACTGGCCCCTGTTAAACCAGATAATGCTTTCTTCTGTCACGTATGTGGGATGAGATTCAGCAACATGCCAGAGCTGGAGCAACATGAATGTACCAACAATTCCCCAAGTCAAGCTGTTATGACGGTCCCAAAGCCTCTGCAAAGGATCAACCGTAGGAAGCGCAAAACAAAGTTGCACGTGACAAAGAGAAAGATAAACGAAGGACCCACAGTCAAAGAAGAAGATGAGCAAGATATTGGGATTAACGATGAAGCAGGACCATCTCGCAGAAAGAGTGCCAGGCCAAGGAAAAGTACAGCTAGAAGGTTCAGTGCAGTCTTAACGAGTGATGTCAGCGACGATGAAGGCGCCAAAGGGACGGTTGCTTGGGATCACGATAGTCCATACCCTAGTAGAAAGATAGGCAACCTAGAACCAAGAGAGAAACAACTGCGGTCCTGTAGAGAAAACAAGTTGCACACTTGTGACATATGTGGGAATGTATTTCATCACTTCCAAATTTTTCAACAGCATCAGATGATCTGCGCGTACAAGACTTCGTCAATGTATTATGATGAACCAGAGCCCGAGCCAGACCAAGGCCTAGACCAAGGCCCAGAACCAGAGGATCTAGATAGTGAAGTAGAGGAAGGGGAAATAATAGGTCCACAACCGGCTCCACCTGTTGGCAATGCAGTCGTCCTTGCAGGCCAGGTATCAAATAGCACCGAAGAGGAAGTCACATGTGGTGTTTGTGGGAAGTCTTTCAACAAGATGGAAAAGCTTATGAGGCACGTCAAGATTCACACAACAGACAAAAAGTATGAATGTGAATTTTGCAAGAAGTCGTTTGGTCGTTCAGATCATCTTGCCAGGCACAGGCGTACTCACACGGAGAAAAAATTCCACTGCAAGAGATGTGATGACAGGTTTAAAGATGTCAAAGAATATCGTCTACACATGGAAACCCACAAAGAGATTCCTGTTGAGAAGGCATATTCTTGTACACTGTGTGATATGTCATTTCCAAAGCACACTACTCTGATCAAGCACAAACTGAGCCACAATGTTGAGGGTCAGCATCAGTGCAAGAAATGTGGAGATGTACATCCAGACGAGACCTCTTTAGAATCTCACGAATGTCAGCAAGACGAAGATAAGGTTCACTCGTGCTTAGATTGTGGAAAAGGCTTCAAGACAGTGTATGCTCTCACTCGTCATCTCTTTTGCCACACTGGTTTGCGCCCCTACGAGTGCGAGAAGTGCGGGAAAAAGTTCACACGCAGCGGACACCTGCGACGCCACCAAATTTCACACTCTGATGAAAAACCTTACGACTGTGACCTCTGTGATAAGAAGTTCAGAAGAATTGACCATATGCGAATCCATAAGAAGACACATGAAAAGAAAGCAAGAGAGAAGAGGGAACCATCTGAAAGGCCATATGGATGCGACATCTGCAACAAGAAATTCCGGACAGAGCCTGCCCTGGAGAGGCACAAGACTCGCCACACGGTGGAACGCCGCTACATGTGTGATATCTGCGGTAAAACCTTCAAGCGAATGGACAACTTGAGGATGCATAATCGGGTACACACGGGAGAAAAACCACATACCTGTCAGGAATGCGGCAAGCAGTTCTCACATCACACGGCATTGAGAGGCCACATGCGCACTCACTCTGATGAACAACCATACGTGTGTGAGATCTGTGGACGTGCCTTCAAGCATCCACACAATATGCGGTCTCACCAATATGTGCATGGACTCCAGAAACCTTTTAACTGTGAACACTGTCAAAAGCCATTCAGAGACACTTACCATTTAAGGTTGCACATTTCTAGATGCCATGATCCAGATAGAGTTAGAAAGCCCCGTGGTGGAGGAAGGAAATCAAGTTCTGCTACAGGGGGTGCTACTGCTGCTGCTGCGAGTGCTGCTGCTGCTGCGGCTGCAGCTGCAGCCAACGCCAACAATCTGATTATCAATCCCAACCAGCAAGCAGAACAAAAGCCTGTCATAAATTCCCCAGTTTCAGAAGCAGAACCTTCTGCTACCCCTCACCAGTCTACCGAGAGCCCATCCCCCGTCCCTTCATCACACCTGAAGAAGAATCCTTTGGCGTGTGAGAGATGCCACCTAGCTTTTCCAAACCTTGAACATCTTCACACTCACCAATGCCCAGCACTATATCATATGTCTGCTCACGTGTCTCATACATCTCATAGCTCCCATAGTTCCTTTAACTGCAATCGCTGCAACCGAACATTCCAAGACTCTCATCAGCTGAGGATGCATCTGCTCACGCACAAGGAAGATCCCTCTGTCATCTGTGCCATTAGTGCCATCCAGGAGAACTTTGAGGAACCTCAGGCTATTCAGCAAAGGTACCAGATGGCTGTACACCCAGATCACCCGGGTCCACTGGCGTACACCGTGCCCCATCAAACACCCTACATGATATCCCAGTCTAATCAGCTTGCTTACTCAGTTGCCCACTCTCTGCCCAACCCTAGGGTCCATGGCGCTCATGGAGAAGTGCCATCTTACCAGATGCTCTAGATGGAAGAGCTAGGACGCCCTCTGTATATACATCCACTGAAATGGGAAATGACATGATGAATATACTCCACATACGTCAGTATTCTTGTACAATGATAGCTGTACAATCTTTATTTCAGTAATTCAGATTTTCAAATTTATGGCTTTATGCCATGTGGTGCTCAGATCTCCCTTTACTTCTAGTCAACTATATGTTCAGGGATGTCGTTATGAATTTGTATGTCAAACAGATCTTCAGAAATGAAATTACAGAGAAAGTCTGTTTTCATGAAGATGTTGGTATCTTATATTTCATATATAAATGAATATGAAAAAAGTATTGTGATGATGATACTACATCATTGATTGTGGAGCTAGTTTGGGAATGATTTTTATTTTGGCATTTTCTCTTTTCTAAAAGGCATTTATCCTAACTTGTATTACAGTAACCAGTATGAAGGGCTCAGTCAAAGATCCATTTGTATGAACAAGTCATTCAGGGAATGTCAGTTCACTGATTGTTAAGCTTGCAATTATGGTGAACACCATATGAATTTTGGAGAGGTTCAGAGTTTGTTTGTGTTATCTGGGGAGACCTTTCTAGAGATGATCTTGCCATATATGAAGTCTCTCCTCAAAGATAAGATCATTTTAATTGTAACATGACCCAAGCAATTAACTTGTATAAATGTGATGTGATATGTGTTTGTAAGATGACTATATGTCTTTATATTGCATGCCCTTATTAAACAGGAGTGTACATAGATTGTCTTGAATCATGTAAAATATGAATGTTCCTATATTTAGATTGTAATAGCCTACAGGAAGTCCATGGTTTATGTACTGATGGAAGTGTGTTTTTGAATGTAGTATTACATTATAACAATGTGTGGACACACATTATAGTTAGAAAATATTATACTCTATGTAAATACGCTGTTTGTGCATTGGAGATAATGCACATCCATGATGTTTCTCAAGACTAGAGAGGTGTCTTTGATTAGTATATGAAATAGAAAAGAGTTTTACTTTATCATATAAACCTTTTGACCTTTATATCATTGAACATATATTGTAATGTATGGATGACTTTATTATATATTTACAGGTGAAGTATGCTATAGAGTACAATTTATGTCGTGTTTACAAATGACAACAAAGATTTTGCGCCAATGTATGTTAAGATGTACTTTTGTGATACAATAGTCGAGGAGCCTGTCCCAAAGTGTAACCTCATCAAGTCCATACAATGTGGAAGTTAATGAGTCATTCTAAGTCATTAGACAAAAGTCAGTCACAAAAGTTGTTTGCCTAACTGTAGCTGTCAGATTTGACATACTACCACCCCTGAATAAAGGTCAGGTAAATATCACCCAATTTAGTCCTGGGACCAATTTTTGTCACACAGAAGTTTTTAAAGCTGTGTATCACAAGAAATTGAAAACTGGATCCATGTAATGGTACGGTGGTGAAAAAGTAATTTCAATTTTAGAGGGGTGATGTGAGATGAAAAATTAAATTTGAAGTCCAATTTTCAAAATGGCTACTAATTTGTTCATGGCATACATGCAGATCGTGGTCTAAGTAGTTCTAAAGTGGTAATATTTAATGGGCTAAATGTTCCAACTACTTTGAGACAGGCTCTTAACCTACAATCAATGATATGACATTATTATGTAAATGCATGAATTATGTGCATGTAACTAACTAATTATTCTAAATTTTATTTGAATCATCTGTTTTTATATGTATTTATTATGGCAGAATCCAATGTGTGGAATGAGTGGAATGAAATAGGGGGTACTAATTTTTCATGTTTTATTTTAACAATTAGTAAGTTAATCATGTGTGGTATTTGTATGTGACAATTTGCCTTGTTGTTCAAAGGTACTATTTATCTTTTATAAATTCATTTTAAACAAATCAAGCTAAAATAGATTAGTAGTGATAATATAAGATTAAACTTTATTGAAGTATCTCCTCGAGTCTTGGTGATATTGATGTCAATAAGTTTAGGCTTATTTGTACTACTGTATGAATAGATTTCTTATCTTATCATTCTTATTGAAAATGGACATTTTAGATTTTTTTTTTAATTCAAGGATTTTGCCCCTCTCTGGTATAAGTTTTCTGATAGAAATTCAACACAATTCATTTCCCTTGTGGAGGTGTTGTGGTATAGTGGTTCATTCACTTGTATCTCAGTCCAAGGGTTGAGGGTTCAAATGCTCCAAGTGTTCGATTCGATTCATTGCAATGTGCTTTGATCATGGTCCAGGACTGACAGCTTGTGTCGTAGTCCTTGGATTTTGTTAAAAGCCTTTTTGTATCTGCACAATCATGTAGTATTTGTGGTCTTTTTTTTTTTTACCTGTACGAGTTAATGAAAATCATGTGAATGACTGTATCCTTATATACACATAGTATCCTGTTTATTTGTATAACTGTGTATCACAGTATAATGTCCTCCATTCTATTTTGAAAAGAGAGTGTTCGTGTATTTACTATTGGTATATGTGAGTGTTTGATATGTTGCTAGCAAAACTCAATACATGTATCTGCCAGGTTGAAATCCCTGTTATTGTTCATGTTATTCGCAGGTGGTTAAAAGGTAGTTATGTTATCATTGGCAAGTTTATGCTTGTGTGTTTTAGAATCCTATTTTCCTTTGAATAGTATAAGTACAACAGAGGAATGTTATTTTTAATAACAAATTTCCTTCCAAATTTCCTTTGCACCTAGGTTTTCATTATGCTTGATCCAATAAGCAGTACCTGAAATTATTTTTCATCAAATTGAAAAGGCATGTGAATGATAGTTTTTTATGGTCAGTTTGATGCAAACAATATGAAAAGGTGGTTTGAATGACGATTTGGTGATGGTCAACCCGAGAAGTTTGAGAAGAACTTGCCAACTTCCCAGCTTTTAAAACCTTTGAGTTATTGATGTGCCAGAAAATAAAAAATGTCTGGTTGTGATATCTCTGACCATTAATGCATCAATTTATGTTAAGCAGCAAGTACACATCGGTTATAAGTTAACATAGTCAAACGGCAAGAACTTGCTTTTTAAACTGCCAGGTTTGTCGGTTTTACTGCTAAAATGCATTTTGTTGTTGTCTGTCTTTTGCCAGACTCAAATGTATCAGGACTATGATTAAGGACAATACCGAAGGACTTGTACTAACAAATATATTAGAACAATATTACAATACCCTAAATTAGAATTCATATTTGAACTTGGTGCATGTATTGCTAAAAAGAATTCTGAGCCTGTGTATATTTTAAGTCAGCCATTCTAGAATCTAGTGTGTTGAATTTCTGCAGATGGTTATTTTTTAATTTTTTAAAACAAAAAATGAGGAAACACTTAAAGTGAAATCTCTTATTATTATTACACAAACTGATGCTACATTTTGTACTTGTATGTTTTTTTAAATTGGAATGTTGCCTGTTTCTGTTCACTGTTTCTCATTTTATTTCACTTTTATAACTTCTCAAGCTATCCATTTACTATGGCTTAAATATTTGGTGTTTTACTCTATATTATTATTATTGGTAAGATGGATTTACATTATGTATAAAAAATAGTATGTACTTTGTATTGTGTGATAATGTGAAGACCAACCATAGTTGAGTCCCTCCCCCCACCTTTAAAAAAAGATAATTGATTTTATATATCTTGTAATTAGTGCTGTAGTCAAACGTTTAACCGTCCGGTATCCGACCGCCCATGGCGGATTCCGTTATCAATTGGACGGTTTCGTTTTCCCGATTTTTTTTTTTTTTTTTTTTTTTTTTTTTAATAATTTTTTTTTTTTTAATTTTTTTTTTTTTTTTTTTTTTTTAAAGTTTCGATTTATGCCCCTCCACCTGGCACTATGCCTGGCAATGTCTCCCAGCTCAGTAATCGGTGTGATGACTTACCACTTGGAAACTAGAACAACACTCCAATTTGTCTGTCATCTTGGTTTGAAAGTAGTCTTTGTAATAGATCTCAATGTATATTCATCCAAGTTTAACACATGGTGTACCACAAGGTTCTATCCTAGGTCCTCTACTGTTTTTAATTTACTTTAATGATCTTACACATTATTCTAAAACGACATTGTTACTATTATTTGTGACTAGTTCACAAGCACAAATCGGCGCCTTCAGTTAAATCACCTTCCTGCTTTTTCACACGGCCAAAAAAAAAAAAAAAAAAAAAAAAAAAACGATTTTTTTTTTTTTTTTTTTTTTTTTTTTTTTTTTTTTTTTTTTTTTTTTATTTATTTATTTTTTTTTTTTATTTTTTTTTTTATTTTTATTTTATTTTTAAATAAATCGTTTAACCGAAAACCGTCCGGTTTTGACAGGCGGTTAAACGGAATTGGAGATATCCGTGATGTTACAGCACTACTTGTAATAATCAATTACTACATGTAGCTACTTCTAGAACAGAAGTACTAGCATTTGAAAATGATGTTTCAATCTATTTTGTTAATGGTTTCTAGTGATTACTCTTTATCACTTGAATGTTTAAAATTGTATGCATCTATTAAATATATGTTACTTTTTTGTAGGAACAGAGACTATGATACCTTTATTGTATGTCGAAGGTGTTCTGGAATTTAAAAGTTGACTTGTAGGCATGGTTTGTATTTTGTATTTTTGAAATGTTAAAATTGTTGATGTGATCATGTACTGGAATTTTTGTAACATTTGCAAACAGTTAGTCAACATATGAATCTTAATCTTGCATTTTTTCATGAAATTTGTAATTTTATTTCAAATATGCAAAGTGCTTTTTATTATTAGATTCTTAATGTAACACATTTGAATGTTTATTTGATTTAGTGTGCTGGTAATTTCATTGTTAGTTTAGCATAAAACAATCATTTTGATAGAAATATATATATAGATATATATTAACACATATATTATGTAGGTAGGTCTCTCTCTCTCTCTCTCTTTCTATATATATATATATATATACATATATTATATATTCACGCACTCACACACACGTGCAAATAATGTGCGGCTGGATATGTTGAAAAAACACAGTATAATATTCTGTGCTTAGGAGTACGATAATAGCGTGTTTTCAAACTTTGAGCTATTTGTTCTGATTGAAAATTCTTCTTTTTTTCAATTAGAGAATTAAAAGATAAATATTAAGGCACAAATTAGGGAATGCCTGAGTTTATGATACCTGAAATTCATCATATTCAAATCATGCTTACTATCTTTGCTATTTTGTTAGGTTTTTCCTTTTTTTCTGATACCATTAGATGTATATATTAAGTAACACTATAGATATGTATACATACACACACATATCATGTGTGGGTGGGTGTGTGTGAGTGTAAAGTGTTATGAATGCCAAAGCTGTTTCAGGAAAGATATGTAGTGTAACCTTGGTAGATGGTTTTTGTATGGTGACAGCCTTATAGGCAGTTGATTGAGGATTTTTAGAATATGCTTCAAGATTTTTCAACTTTTACTTTTTTTTTTCTTTCGTTTCTTTTTTTAATATGAAGATGTGTTAATGTGTCTACTTGTATTAATAGGGGTAAATAGCCCCTTTTTTTCATTTTGTTCATGGAATTTGAAATTAATTTGAACTACTGGTATAAATTATGTTATAATTTAATTGAAAATAAAATTTATGGCTTTTCAGTTAACTCTATATTCAGTTAACTCTATATACTTCAGCTCATTTTATATTTCAATCAGTAACATGCCAAATTTGTAAGTCATACTGCTGTTCGATTTATTTTAAATAAATCCTTTGGTCGTATTTTAACCCTGGTTGTGTGGTCAAAAACGATATATAATATATATACAAATAATAATTGGAACAATTGAAAAAAAAACCCTGGAGATTGTCTCTCTCTCTCTCTCTCTCTCTATATATATATATAGTCCATTTTAGTCTAACAAGTGAAAGCAGGCACACACAAAGAGAACATTTTGAGGAATAATGTGTTCAAAAGATATGCAGTATTTAATGCATCATATTTAGCCAGGCCAGCCCTTAGCCCCTGAGACAAAACTCTCCACACATTCTGCGGCTTTTTTTCTTCTTTTTCTTGTTTTGTTTTAGTTTTTTTTACGACACAATCATAGGTAGGATGGAATGGGTAATCCTCCCTTTCCCCCTATGTATATATAAATCTGAATTAATGTTAGCATTGCTTATGCTTTGTTTGATTCATGCCATGTAAAGAATCAAGATTAACATGCCTATTATTGTATCAGCTTCTTGAATTGATCGCCTCTATCGTTATTTTTTAAATTTCATTCAAACATATATGTTCGTTTGATTAAAACCAAGATATTAAAGTTTACAGAAAAGTAAATAAAAGAGAAAAACACTGGCCAATGTAATTTCTCCATACTGCACAGGATTATTAAGTGTGTACTTTTATATGTGTACTACATGTGATATCTATCATGGTGTTAGGTACTGCACCCACAACAACATTTTATAATGAATTTAGCCATTGTTTGTTCATTTTATTTAAAAGCTTTTAATGAACAGTTAATTAGATAGTATTACAAAAAAAAAAGATAAGGAGAGAGAATCAAAGATTTTGTATGTGTAATTATTTTTCAGCTTCACTTTGTATACATTTATTGGACTCTAATAAATTCCTTGCCATGCTAAAATATGCCAGCTGAGATGTTCTCTTTTGTTTGTTTTGTTCCTTTTTTGTGTTTTTATCAGAGCGTCTTTTTAGGAGAGAGCAGAGCCACTGAGGGATGGGAGGGTGTGTAAGTAGGTGGTTGCAACATGAACTATTTTAACTGCCATAAAAAGTTATATGAAATCAAAATGTTGGAAAGTGTTGAAAAATAAATACTAAGTCGGTGATAATAAATGATTCCATTTTCTCTAAGCGCCAACAATGCCATCTTTGATTAGCAAACCACTTTCGGTGATACACAGTCTGTGGAACAGGATTTGTGTGCTTGCCCAGCACAGCAACTTTCACCTTGTATTCTGTCCAACTTCATTTTTGCATCAAATTATAGTAATTAATGACTCTGCAATTTACAAAGACCCCCTCTGATTACTACCTCTGATGAAAGTAGATGACTGCAATTTAGTGGTTAAAAAAAAGGAGGAATAAGAGCACAGAAGTGGGAGACGGAGATGGACAAGGGAGAGACAATCGAGAGAGATGGAGGGGTATGAGAGAGAGAGAGAGAGAGAGAGAGAGAGAGAGAGAGAGAGATGGAGGGGTATGAGAGAGAGAGAGAGAGAGAGAGAGAGAGAGAGAGAGATCTAGAGATGGAGGGGTATGAGAGAGAGAGAGAGAGAGAGAGAGAGAGAGGGGTATGAGAGAGAGAGAGAGAGAGATGGAGGGGTATGGGAGAGAGAGGGAGAGAGAGTAAGAGAAAATAAAAGGAAGAGAAGAGATGGCGATCTCAGCTGAGCAAGGTATGGCACATTGCGCCCCCCCCCCCTCCCAAACACACCTTTTTTCAAGTACCTCAAAAGTGCCACTTTTTCAAGATAAGTGCACTTTTCTTGATTCTCAAAATTGCCCCTTTTCAGGTGCGAGAAGTGCCTCTCTTCCCTGTGAATTTAAGAGAGCCTCTTTTAATTAATCGACACATGCCTCTTTTCCCTTCTAATACAAGTCCATTTTCACTAATAAGTGTCCCTATTAAAATCCTATAGGTGCCCCTTTTACTGTGACGAGTAATAATTGCCCGTCCCTTTTTTTTTTAATGAGTGCTCCTTTTCACCTCCGATAAGCCCCCCCGGCCCCTTTCAAATATGATAAGTTCCTCTTTTTACTTTGAAAAGTGTCCCTTTTCCTTTGTAATTAATGCCCTTTTATAAGGGCCCCTTTTTGGCCTTTATACTAACGTGTATTTCTCATTTTCAAAACTGTCGCTTACGAAGTGTGCCCTTTTGCCGTCGTCTAAAGAGCCCAATCTCGTTATAAAGAATCAGAGCTCAATAACAAGCAGTGGAGCTGGGAATGGGAAAGGGGGGGGGGCAGATAAGCGGTACAATTACACACATTTCATAGAAACTAATTGTGCCCCTTTTTAGAAATATAATCTTGCTCATTTTCAGCGCTGTGCCTTCTCTAGACTGAGAATACCTTTTTCCTTTTTTGATTTAGATGTTTCGACGACACCCTACTATACTTTGTACGTTTTTGAAAAAAACACGAACACGAAATATTTGTTCAAGAAGCTCGGACAAAATGGGGACACCTCTCAAAACGTACGGCAAGAAGCCCGATGTTTTCCACTTTGAAGAAGGAGGAGAGCGTTATATGATAGGTTCTGAAGTGAGTATATGCTAAAGTCTACAGTGAAGTTATTTTCATTGTAATGCAGATGCAGACGAGTGACAGAGGCCCAGATTTGCTCGGCCCTTTCCTGACCCTTTGTTCATGTTCGTTGGCGCTGTCGAGATCTATACCGGTACACATGTAGACTCTAGTACTAGGGAGCTAGCCGCGACGCCGACGCTTTCGGCATCGGGCTCCGTGGAGTTAGTACACAGTATGCCCGGACCACAGCTGTGTGCCGCGTCGGACAGATTGTTTATCCGGACACTTGATTCGAAACAGCATAATCCTGATTATGAAGAAGTTTACCATGTTTAAATACAATATTTCATAAATCTTTGAAGACTTGTGAGTTGTGTTGAAAAATATTGAAAAGGGCCGTTATTTATGATGGTTCGGGTTGGCATCGGTGCTGTTCGATGCAAATTTGTTTGGTTAATTAACTGGTTAGGCCTAGACTGCTAGAGTAGAGTCTCCGGTGTGCGGCATAGCCCGGTGGGCAGCCAGGGGTATAGATCTACAAAATAAAATATATGCAACTCGATAATATGCTCTTGAAACCTACCATGGATTCTCCGGTAAGTTCTGCTTTGCCAAAAACGTCCGTAGCAGATGTTCCTATCGGTAAGGATTATCCATCAACAATGTCCGAAATGTATGGCACCAGTTGCCGATGAAAATTCCAGCAGGTGCTAACTTTTAAGTTAAGAGATCGAGGCATGACTAGATCAATAGCTCTTTATTTATCCAATTGGAGGTGAAATTTGATGTTGTGGGAGTATGATGGCTGTGGTCTGTCTCCTATCGCAGACATTTTGATTGTGCCACCGCAGATATACGATTCGTAGATCTATACCATATAGATTACCGAGCAACAGATAAACATGAGAATTTGGGTTACCCGTAGTAATTTGGTACATGCTTTGATTGTGATGTTGCGCATAAAGCTTTATGAAGTAATGCGTGCATGGCCGCACACCGGGGAACTCAAAGCATTACGAAACGTGGTCAATGCTGATCACGCTGTGGGTCAGTTACGTTATTTGTGACTTCTATTTAATAAGTAAGTATATGGACTCTATATTGAGGGACCGGCCGCACACCGAAGCCACTACGCTAGGCCTATCATAACTTTTAAAGGGCAAGTCCACTCCAAAAATAACTTACTTTTAATAGGAGTAGAAAAATTGGCGCTAGTTCAGAAGTGTATCTAGACTTTGATTGTAACTCCGGCGTGGAGATACCCTACTAAAACATACCGAAAAATTGACTAAATCTTCATCAATTGTTCAAATAATGGTCATGATTTAAAAGTTGTTATGTTTCTTACCTGTTTCATGTCAATTTTCTTATCTTTGTTGGACTGGAGTATTCTTCCTAAAAAAAGATTTATAATATACATTTTCTCACGGGATTCACGGCAAACTACGGCGCAATACAATTGCATACCGTACCGCGGGCGCGCATGTGTGTTAGCAATTCATCATGACGGTCGCTAACTTAACACACACGCGCGCCTGCACCCCACCATCGTTATGTTATGCAGTTGTATATTGTGCAGCAGTTTGATGTGAATCCCGTGAGAAAGTGTATATTATAAGTCTTTGTTTTTAGGAAAAAGAGACAACAAAAACAATAACACAAATATTTTGATGAATTAACCACTACTGGTAAAAATATACTATAGAAAGGTATAGAGTTGACTCTTGATGAAAAATAAAATTAGCATAATAACTTACATGTAGTTGTAGAAGCATCTAGCATTATTATCAGTAAGTATTATTATCATCATAATCTGCATCCCCTTCCCCCCCCCCCCTCCCGTCAATTCAGATAATGTCTGAAAGATAGAATGAGAATTCACATTATTGCAGTTCCAATCTCATGAATCTGCTTGCCTTAAGTTGAACACTTCAGAACCTAAGAAAGCATATTGGCCAAGTTACATGTAGATCCCAAGCATATGTGTGGGCTAGGTCTTGATTCATCATGGCTACATTTAACTTAGATAACCGATTGAAAGTAGGTATAACCTCTTAGTGCTCTTACAGTATCAATATAATTTTAATAGGCCCTAACAAAACTTTGTTATGGTCCAACATTTCATCTATTGTTAATTCCAGCATGTATGTAATATGGTGTCTATTTTCTGTTATCTGTTAAAAGTAAAAGAGCTTGAAAAGGGGAAAAGTGAAATTGCCATTTCCTGCACAGTAGTACAGTGTAGGTGCTTTAGTTTTAACAAGCCTAGATCTAATCTGGTCCTAAATTGTTAGTGTTAGCTTGCAACTTCTTCCGATCCAAATTTGAAAGTAATGAACAGTTTGACCTCTACTTCACCTGTAGGGCTTTAGCTTTTCAGATCTAGTCCTGCCCAAAAATCTGGGCCAATGTCTTAACCATGAGCCTTCCATGGTGCCATCTTCCGAATGACCTTGATTAAATAAAAATGTCTGATTCTTGTTTATTATTATGCATATTATCACTTTATTGTTGTTATTATTAATATCATTATTAGTATTATTATTATTATCATTATTAATGATAAGATATAATTATTTTATAAAGCTATGAATTCATCTTGTGACTAAAGGTTTGTTTTCTCTCTCTCTCCCCCCATCTCTCTCTCTCTCTCTCTCTCTCTCTCCCTCTGTCCATTCTCTCTCTTGTTCTGTCTTTCTCTCTTTCAGGTGGGTAATTACTTGAGACTTTTCAGAGGATCATTGTACAAGAAATACCCGTCACTATGGAGGAAAATGGCAAGCATGGAGGAGAGAAAAATGATCGTCGAACAGGGCGAACGTGAGTAAAACATTACATAAACGTCTTTTGTGTGCAGTAGTAATAGTCCTGTAAAACAGTTTTCGTTTATCCGGAAATCAATGTGAATCCAGTACCAAGTAGATACATGTAGTTCACGGTCGGACTTATGGAAAGAAATATTACAACTTTTCTGGTCTGGTTAGGGTCCAGGCTATTCTCTCTAATTCCCAGCTCTACTATTGAGTTATGATGATCATGGAAAATGTATTTAACAACATACATGTGGAGGCCATCTGAAGTCAATTAATGATTGTCGTATAAAGAGGCTGTGTATTTTTTTTCTCCGAAAAGGCAATGATCTTCAAGTTCAAGTTCAAGTTTATTCAAACCAATCAAACACAACATTTTACAATCAATTGACACAAAAGAAATAAAAAACATGATAGGTTTGGGACCCCGGAGAAGCAGAGCTTGTGATAAGGGGCCCCTTAAAAGGTACATAAACAAAAACAAAATAACAGTATTTAGAATAACCGATGACAAAAACATATTTACAATGATAACTAATGAGTAAATATGGGAACAGAAAAAAAGATAACACACATACACATACACACCCACGCACACACACACAGACACACCCACATACACACATACACACATGGCTTTCCAGGATTTACTTTAACATATTTTGTAATCTCTCAAAAAGATATTCTCGACATGTATGTTTAAACATAGGTAGTGTTGGACTGGATCTGGTGTTTTGTGGCAACTTATTCCATTCTTTGATACAATTAATTACAAAAGAGTTCGAAGCAGTTTGTGTTCTCGCAAACGGCTGATGGATAAGATTTCTCTGACGTGTGTTGTACGAATGGACAGTCGAATTAACAATAAACGCATCTTTTAAAAATGAATTATTTTGAGCAGATTGAGATTTGTACATGAATATCAAACAATTCATGGAGACTAATTCATCAAGAGGCAACATCTGAAGTTGCACAAATAAAGGATTACTTGGACTTCTGTAATTTGAATTTGTAATGAGCCTGATAGCTTTCTTCTGGACTATTAACTTGTTTATATGGCTCCTATACGTATTTCCCCATGCAACATTACAATAAGTTAAGTGAGGCATAATGATAGCATTATAAAGAGTTACTAAAGTTTGCTCTGGTAAAAAAAAGCGTAACTTAAAATTCACACCAACACTCCTCGAGACCTTGGTACAAACATTGCTGAGGTGATCTTTCCAAGTTAAATGATCATCAACTGTAACTCCAAGAAACCTTACATTTTGACTCCGGTTGATCAGATGACCACCTATTGTCAGGGGGTCAATATTATCTGGGATTCTTTTGCCCCTTGATCTAAAAACAACATATTGAGTCTTACTAGCATTTAACAAAAGTTTGTTGCAACAAAACCACTTAAATATATTGTGAACTTCATTATTTGCAGACAAAATCAGATTATGCATGTCTTTGTGGTGAGAGAGCAAGCAAGTATCATCAGCAAAAAGTGAATAAGTAAACAACTGAGATGAGTTTATAATATCATTAATATAAATCAAGAACAATAAGGGGCCCAGGACTGAGCCTTGGGGTATGCCATATTTTACCTTCCTAGATTGTGATTTAACTCCATTAACCACTACATACTGTAATCGATTACGTAAGTAATTTTTAAACCATTTCAAAGCTATCCCACGAATGCCATAATGCTCAAGCTTGCTTTTGTCTCCAAATCTAAACAAACCTTTCAACTTCTCATCTGACCTACATGTACCTCTGACAATACTGTGGCAATTTATGATTTTAACCAATATCGTATTAAACCAATATTTCATCTTGAAACACGTAAGAACAAATAATGTTTTTGTGTGTGAAATTTATGTATTTAGTGCTTAATTGCATAACTTTGTGTATCAATCGACAATAGTAGTACATGAAATTCAACATCAATCAGATTTTAAATCCTTGAATATTTAATTTAAAGCCCCACTGCACTATACTTGTAGCTACTTGCGCCCTCTATATAGCAAAAAATGCCTAATCGGTGACCGCTAGTCCCCCATGATCCCCATTTTCTTATGTTAATCGAGAGCTGATTTGATTAAATAACCACCTGTCAGTGTCCACGCTGGGTGGTTTAATCCCTCCTGGCCAAACTAGTGCAGACGGGCTTTAAAAGAGATTTAAGTTATTTTGCTATGGTACACTGAACAAATATTGTCTTCATGTAGGATTTGGCCAACACGGGCTGGCTACAAACGTGACTCTGCTGCGAGCGAGAGAAGTGGAAGAGATCCTAGAGGGCAACGAGGAGAAGTACAGGTCTGTGTCCATCACTACAGACAGTGCAGTGGCAAGGGACCCTAAACCAAAGCGCAGTCGTGACTGGGTACCTGCCATCCCTAATAGCTCTCACCATCTAGATGCAGTACCATGCTCTACAGCCATATCAAGGACCAAGATAGGACCAAAGAAGCAGAGGACATTCCCTATGTGGTAAGATCTCTTCTTACAGATGGATATCCAGATATATTCAGATATATATGCAGCCTGGTTTTATTCATTCCTGAAAATGAAGGATATTTGGTTTAATTTGCTGGACATGCACATAAGGAGATTTTGTGTGGTTGACTTTATGGAACCATAATCTCACTTTGACATTAAATATGGTCTTCAAATCTGAAAGTGGAAAGAAAAAGTATTTGTATATATTTTTATTATTTTATTTAGAATGAATCTTGTTGAAACTTGTCCCTCATAATGTTTCACGTTGTGTCACAAATAGATTTATTTGCAGGATATTTTGTGTTTTCAAATTTCAATAGATTTTGGTGTAAAGATGTCAAAGGAATGCCATACAAAGGCTACTGGTCATGTCTGTCTGCCTTGGCGTGTATTAATGTATTGTAATCTGAGTTATCTGACAATGTTGCATTATGCAACAGGTTATTGTGAGTGGCATCATTGAGGGTGTCCTGCACTTGGCAAATCAAATTGCCACATCAAGTTGTTCAAAGAGACTATAACTATAAGGCCAAGTAAAATTGATTTCTAGTTTCTTGGCCAGATTTTACAAAACTTGAGGATGATGGCGTTCAATGTTATTTGATATTAGATATTTTTCCAAGATGGTCGCCGCTCATACACATGCTATAACATGTATTCCTCCCCTCCCCCCCCTCCCCCCCCCCCCCCAACAAAAAAAAAGGAGGCAGACACAAAAAGGAATCAGGTGGGAACAAGAAACTAGGAATGATTTTTTACTTGGCCTTAATGAATCTGATGTATTTCATTTCCTTTTGTTGTTTTGTTTTGTTAACCATGTCATTTTTTTTCTTTCTTAGTTACGATGATCACGACCCTGCTATCATCCATGACAACGCAACCCAACCTGATGTCCTGGTTCCTATAAGGCTAGACATGGAGATAGATGGACAGAAGCTGAGAGACACATTCACATGGAATAAAAATGGTCAGTATCAAAGAAACTTGCAATACACATATTCTACAAAGCAATCACCACTGATTTACTGTCATAGACTGAGTGAATTGACTTGTGAAAGTGGGTGTAGCATGACCAGACTGTGTCTTTCCCGTGGCCTGACTCGGGGGCCAATCGGGTATAATACGACTATGGACGACGCGACCGCAGTATTCACAAGCGCGCAACATACGTCAAACCAAAGCGTGAGGAGAACTTTGATCTGTTTCGCAAATGCTAGCGCGCTGGTGGTTAATCAAGTCCATTAGTTTACGTGCAGTTGTCGAAAATAAGTTGTAGATGGCGTTATCCAGTATTTGCCATGCTACACCCCTTTTAAGAAAACAATCAGAATCCAGACACTATTAACAGTCTTGCAGCCTGACCTGAAAATGTAGCCCCATCCAGCCCAAAAGGTCTGACCCCCTGAAGTACGTTAAATCATTCAGATTTTTTTGTGTGTGGACAGTTTAACAGTAGCCCCTAGTCAGAAGGAAGACTTTTGGCTGTACCCTGCAAAGTCTGAGAAAGAAAGAAAGAAACAGGAAAAAAGTAAAAAGGACAGAAATTTCCATCTTGAAATGGATGTCAGAAGAAACAACGTCCTAAAGTGCAGTTTCACTAAACTTAGTCCAACAAAAACAAAACAACAATGACAACAACAAAACACAAAGTAAGCAATACAAAACAGAAAACAAAAGCAAAAATAAAAAGAATCTTTGAGGATATATATATTTGAGGCGTTCATTACGTTCAACTTATGACTAAAAGCTGAATTCAATTCACTAAAGATTTACACAGATTACTTCACTGAAGATTCAGCTTAATCTTTAGTTTTGTAATTTTTCTTGTAGAACAACTCATCACTCCAGAGATGTTTGCAGAAATCCTATGTGATGACCTTGACCTGCCGGCTACGACCTTCATACAACCCATCTCCCAGGCAATCAAAACTCAGATAGAAGCTTATCCCACGGATACAAGTATACTGGATGCACATAGTGATCAGCGAGTTATCCTCAAGGTAGGGTCATCTATCATGAAACTCTCTCACACCATTGCTGATGATTGGATGTTGCTGTAATATCGAAGGCTCATTCAGATTTGAAGCAGCCAACTGAAGCAGCATTTGTTTACAATGACTTGGGTGTAATAAGCTTCACATTCCTGCATGTGAAGAATTTTGAGTATGGAAAGAAAATTTATGCTCTTACTTTTGAAACCATTGATATATTTATATATGATAATAATGCAAAAAATGTGACATAAAATTTTCAAAGCGCTGTACACAAATCAAGATTAGTTCAAGAAAAATCAATAAATGAAATTAATATTCATTTTATTTTATTTCATTCTCCATAAAAAACATTAAACATACAAACATGATATACAGATGAAAGGTCGATTACCTACAAGAAAAATACAAAGGGAAGAAGCAAACAAAATTTTATGGGAATGTGGGGTTAATAAAAAAGGGCAATTAGCCTTAGCCTTACTTAAATTACCAAGAAAATGAGATACCACTAACATTACTAAAGCAATTAACATAACATGTAGATTCCTTGGAAAGTCAACATATTAATAATAGCAACAATTTAACAAAATATATATTTTTATTTTATTTAGCTGAATATTCATGTTGGCAATATCTCGTTGGTGGACCAGTTTGAATGGGACATGGCTGAGAAAGACAACAATCCGGAGGAGTTTGCCCTCAACCTGTGTGCTGATCTAGGTCTAGGTGGGGAGTTTGTCACTTCCATTGCATACAGCATCAGAGGACAGCTTAGCTGGCATCAACGGACTTACGCTTTTAGGTAAATAACAATTGTATGAAATCAGACTTTCAGGTAACTCCTGAAAAAAGGCTTTCAGATATGCCTATGCTTTCATGTAACCCTAAACTGTCCATTCAAATAGGCCTACTCATAGAGGTGTTGTGGTCTAGTGGATAAATCACCCGACTGCAGATCACAAGGTACGGGGTTCGAGTCCTGCCGCGGCACTAATGTCCTTTGGCAAGACGTTAATCTACATTTGCCACTCTCCACCCAGGTGTTAAATGGGTACCTGTTAGGATGCGAAAGTTAATGTGTTTAGATGAGCAAGTGTGTGCTTGTAAAATGGCGACTGGCTGGAATGCTCCCCATGGAGTGGAAAATGAGCATACATTGTGTGCGGGTAAACCTGAATCCGATGATAGGGGTATCTGTAAAGCGCTTAGACACATCGTTGATGTATAAAGCGCAATATAAATGCGGAATATTATTATTATTATTATTATTTATAATATGTTACAATTATTTCTTTATTGCAACCAAAATACAAGGTTGGATTTTGAATAACATAAAAATACAAGCAGAAACGGATAAAAATAGTAGAAATAAAGTGAGAGAAACAGTTGTTTCTGGTACATAAATGTATAAATAACAATGTGCTACAATCAATATTATAAAATAGATCAAAGTAAGCTCTTTAGTACAATATTTTCTGGTAACTACCAAAAGGTTCTGGCATGCATGCTTTTAGGCAGCCTTAAAGGGATCGTTTAACAATGTAAAATTTGAGATGCACGGTCCTACATGTTACCAGTGTCTGTGATATGGTGTAATATTGAAGCCCTAAAAAAAATTGCGCTTCAAAATGATCAAGAAGTGCCTCAAAAAAGTAAAAATCCTTGAGTTACCGGTTTTACCGTATTCGTTTTCCCCAATAGACTGTAGTGTTTTGAAAACCGTTCGCTGAAATTTGTAATTCCAATCATTAATATCTTGATAATCAGACAGGCAATCGGCTTGTAAAAGTCATGGAGTTCCTGACTGACCTAAAGGTTTATAATTATCATTGCAGCATGAGCTAAATCAAGGATTATTTCTAAAAGATCAAAGACAAAGTTACTTTGCTTTCAAGTTAAATTGTATTGTAAGTTAATCACAAAAGTGAAAGTGTTGATATAAGTATTTCTCTTTTTGAAAATTAGATATATTATTGATCGCTGACTACTGATTTACCTAATTCCCATAGGCTTAATGCAGGGACCACCCGGTTTCAGTAAGCAATCAAAGTTGAAGATAATTCTTGATACTTTGAGATATTGATATTGATAAATGACTCTAATTTCTTAAACTGAACGTAGCATATGCATGTTTTTTGTTTGTTTATGTCAGTGAATCACCGTTGCCAACCGTAGAGATATCTGTACGCAATCAAGGCGAGGCTGACAGCTGGTGTCCGTTCTTAGAGACTCTGACTGATGCAGAGATGGAGAAGAAGATAAGAGATCAAGATAGAAACACAAGGTCAGTACATACATTCAATTCAATTTTTAATGCCACTTTGGAAATTTATTTGTCAGCTTTGTTATTGCTATTATTGTTGTATTTTCTTTGTATCCTGGAACGTATATATTGTTTATGTTGCTTGTATATGTATGTCACTCGCCAGTAGAGGACAAATTTCTGCATTTTTTAAAATCAGACAATAAATTATCTTGAATTGAATCTTGAATTGAATTTATGAAATTGTCTATTATAGAAATTGGAATTTCATGTCTTTCTTGAGGGATTCACCTCAACTTGCCTCAAAATTTGGTTCTGACTTCAAGATGTGGAGAACAAGAAAATATTATTGAATTTCTTTTGAATCTATATTTTTCATTCAATATTACGATTGATGCAAATACATACATGAAATATCTATTGATAGTAAATCAAAGTACTTTGTGATCTTATTTATTGCAAGAAGTTCCGTATAAACCCTTAAAACATTGATACAAAAGGAAATCATTGAAAATGATAGAAAGAAAATTGTAATTAAAAAAAAAAAAAAAAACTGTTTTATGAGCGGGATCTGATTTAAATTGGAGGATACAGTGCACATGAAATCCATAATATATATAAGTGCGAGAATTCTCAACTCTGACATGACAACGGGTGTTCCAGAATATGTAGGCGTGAAGAAAATGGTCTAGGAACGTGAACCTGAAGAAGGCCTCACACGCCGAAAGCTGGTATTAAACTTGTAAAGTACAGCTACGTCTCATGTTCCTAGACCATTTTCTTTACGCCTATATATATATATGTTTAATAATAGTTTATAATTTTATATTTGTCCAGCTCTTATTTCTCTTTCCTCTCTGTAATTTGTTATTTCAGGAGAATTCGTCGTCTTGCAAACACTGCTCCAGCTTGGTAGGAAAGACTGACGGCAGCACAATACAATCCAGATCCAACATTTGTTTTTAAAGACATTCAACATACCACGAAGATTAATATAACATGGTAGATCAACAAACTAGTTTGGCTTTTATTTCCTGCAAATTATTGTTCAACTCTCCTCAATTTGTGCCATGTAATCTTTATTTATTGCCTTCAGGGTACTTATCAAGTTTGCTTGTGTTTTAAAATGTCTATAATACTAGGGCTTGATAAAAACCAGCGTTATGATCGCGCAGACCGAAGTAATCGCCCAGCCTATGTGGATGAATCTTGTGGTCCACCAATGTTCAAAGGCAGTTGAAAGGTCTCAAGCATTAATAAGAAAAAAGCTTGTCTGTTATCAATGGCACAATGTTTATTGTTCAGAAGTCCAATGAGTGCATTCTCGGTAGGAATGGGGTCTAAAGAGCAAGATTTGACATTTCAAAATCCTAGCTTTGAGACATTTTCACTCACAGGATCAACGTGAGTGTGGGTAGAGTCGGGTTTATATGTGCATGGGGATACACTGGATATTAAGCCACTTTCTTAACCAAGGGGGGGGGGGGGGGGGTGGCGGGCCAAAACCATTTCACTGAAATAAACAACATTACTTTATCTTAGCAGTCTACCCTTTACAATACATCCTCATGGAAGGATGTTGAACAAGGAAAAGGCAAATTTGAAGAGATATATCCCTGTACATCAATGAATGAATAAAACCTTTTTTTTTGGGGGGGGGGGCATTTTCCTTTAAGCATAATCTCTATCAGCAATATGGTATGAAGCACAGTACAAGCTATTTTGTTAATACAAATTTGCAGAAAATCACCCGTTTAAACTGGAGCTTCCTATATTTCCAGGTTTACCTTGATTTCATAGAGTTGTATGTTCCACTTCTTTGGAATCTTATATACAAAACCAAAAGCTTGCACAAGACTTTGCACAGACTCAAGATGGATATTTCAGATGATGATTGAACTCATTTGGAGATCTTTACTGAATAAAATGCTAGGTGTAGTTAGAAACTTGTATTTGTTGTAGTAATGTTCTGTCTTGAACCCATTATGTAAATATATACCTTTTTGTATTAAAAAGAAATCTAAACTGATGACCAGTTTCTTTGTGTTTTTGTGTAGAATTGCCTTGTACTTTTATATCTTGCACTGTGGAATCGGAAGGTCCTTTTTAAAGCCTTAGAATACCTTTTGATCAGCCAAAATAACTTTGCATTATTGATTTCATACCTCCAACGTTCTAGTTCATAGTCAGTGTCCAAAGAAGGTCACTGGAGGTACCGGTATATGTAATTCTGATATCTATTCCTCTGTTACGAAGTAGCAGGAGGCATTATGTTTTCGGGTTGTCCGTCTTTATGTCCCTTTCTCACACTACATGATAACACATGATGTATGCGACTTTTGTTCCGACTATTGAAATACAATTATTTGTAACCGGTGAAGAAAATAATTTATAACAATGCATTTTACAATGATATATGCTTAAAATCTCATTACGTTATGAAATTGGCCTATCCAATCTTTCACCACAGTCAAATCACAAAGCCTTCCGACAGAAAGAACACAAAGTGAGCTCATGGGAAGGTTGGGTCTGGAAGAAACTATGGTGGAAGTGGAAAAGAGAAGTGATTGAGATAGATGGGTCATGTGTTGAGAAGGGAAGATGATGGAAGAGCATGGGATCTGGAAGTGGCTGGCATAAGAGGGAAAGGAAGACCAAAGATTTCAAGGTGAATGAAGGAAGCTGTAAGTTTGGTCTGAATGAGGGAGAGGCTCAAGACAAGATGAAGTGGAGGGAAGGAATGTCATGGACTGAAAGTCTGTAACCCCTTGTACAGGAAAATGCTGACTTTAATAAATGATGATGATGATGATATAGACTGATTTGGTTGATATGGTCTCCGAGACCCCTGTAGCACTGCGTAAACCATAACTAGTAGCCACCCAAGAGCATAACGACAGGATTCAATGTCTATATATAATAATCAAAAAGGTTGCATGGCCATCCCTGAACTAAAGCGGGAATACAGTTAACTCTGCACAAGTTGAACAGAGTGTTGGAACCACCTAAAGTAGTTTGACTTGTGCAGAATTTGACTTGGGAAGTGTAGATAACTCATGTTTTGCATAGTTTGATCAAAATATTAATTTGATGTGACTTGTGTGACTTATGCAGAGTTCTATTTTAATCATTATTTAGCATACTTGATGGCCCCCAGTTATGGCATTTGACACTACATGTTCAGCTCTCCGAATCGGTGTCCACAGTGACCCTTAAAAAGGAAAGCAAATTTTGTTGGTAAATTACTCAAGATTTCCAATATTTTTTTCGATAATTTGTGCATCACACAGGAAAGCTCATTTTCTCTTCTTTCATATGAAGCCAAAACCATGATCAGAAGTCATGCATGACAGTCTGACTCTCTGAAATTAGATTTCCAATCATACAGTAGTTACATTTACTATGAAATAATTTGAAATTATTGAGTAATTTACCCATAAACTTGGGTTTCCTTTTTTACAGGGACATCCTGTATAGGGACATGCTTTTAGAATACAAACGGATGAAATAGTATGCTTTCATTCCTTCACACATATAAATGTGGAACTCGTGAGAAAAAGTACAAAAGAGATATCATGATAAAGGATGATAAAAACTTTATTACATCAAATAATCATGACTTTTATCAAGGTATTTTTTATCTTGTTGCAATATAAAAAAAATTACAATACACAATATAAAACTGAATTATTCCAGTAATAATACTATTGCCAAGTCATCAAAGATAAAAAAGTCACATTTAATGTAATCATAATGATCAGGCACAAATACTTTAAAAAGAAGCGAAAAAATAAGAAAAGCAGGCTGGTGAAATTTTGAACGAAATAAAATATAAAAGTACATGAACATAGCTAGGACAGGGGAGGTAGAACATTTTTCAAAGTTGGGAAGAGGGCGCTACCATACAGGTGCACAGGAAGGACACAAATTAGGTCAAAATCAGTATCATGGCGGTTAGTCTTGTCAACCGTCTGAAAAATGACATGATGGTACCATGAGATTGAAATTGTCTGCCTCGCGGGCTGTCATTTTTGTGAAAAGTCAACTTAAGGCCCATGAAACTAATATTGCTTGTCTTTTTAACCCAAAGAAAATTAGTTAGAGGGCTTTGAATGCATATATATTGCTTTTCATTGACATAAACATGAATACAAGAAATACTAATACAATTATCAGTCGGTAGCAATACAAGGCATTACATACATGTAGAGGTATAAGGCAATTTTGATCTAGTCGTAGATGTATACACAATAGTCCAACTTCTTATGTTGTTATGATATGACTGATTAAGTTGGACTACACATTTAAGAAAATCATGCACTTTTAATTGCAGCATGTAATCAATATTTATTTCTATATTCACAATTGGTTAAGGCACATCAAAGGATAAATTATTTAAAGCGGATGTCCACCCTGATATTAAAGGTAAAGACCAGTTTTGGTAACGCCCCCCTCTCAAAAAATGAAATGGAAGCTCTTATTATCAATCATGTGATTTTTTACTAATACGTGATCATACAAATTTTGCAGAAAAAACCGCCTACTAATCGATATATTTGGTAAATTATTATATATTTGGACCTGATAGATAAAGCGCATGTGTCATGTAGTCCCATATACATCTTTCTGTGTACAGTGCTTGTAACTTGGGCCAAATTTCTTATCATTTTGATGATTCCAGAACCTTGCAGTACACACCAATACTTATATGCTAGATGATCAAACTTTTCTGATCGATTCCACAACGTTTCTTTATCAATGCAATCGCATGACCAGAACTGGTCTTTACCTTTAAGCTGGTTAACATAAAAGCAGATAAATGAGAGAAACAGGTCAATATAAAAGTTTGAGAAAAAAACGTTTGAAATAAGAAAGTTTTCAACCATACGATCATACATTCACCCTTAATGTAATAATTGCAAATATGTTTTTATATAACCCTTGTAAGAAACGAATCTATTCCATCATAAGGAAAACGAAAGTTTATGAAATGTCCTTTACAGAGCACTTGAATCGGAGAGGAGCTCGAAGATAAGTCACTGACAACTTCAAAAATTCATAACTAATTTTTTTCATCTGATGTTGCTTGAACTTTCATATATTTGTTTCTCTCATTTTTCTGCTTTCATTAAAAAGAAGATAATATCAGGGTGGGCTTCACCTATAAATATACAACATGTATTTCACAGTGCTCACATTATTATACACACATCGTACAGGTACATGTATATTGAAAGGGTGTAGGAAATATATTACATGTACCCGTGCATCATTGGTCTCACTGCCATAATGCTAAGTGAATGCGTGGAAGTCCTTTGATGCGTTCAGTTGCCATTTTATTTACATTTGAAAAAAACGCAGCAGCTTTTTTTGGTGCCATATCTTGTATTTTGTTATTGCTATTGTTTATACCATGTATATTTTCCCTTTACTGGGAACTGCTTCATACAAGTTTTTATAAACTTTTTTGTAGTTTCTGTTTTTTCTCTTACTATGTATATTTGCCATTTTTGTATATATTATATTGTTTTTATGCTTGAGAAGAATCAATAAACTGAACTGAACTGAACTCTGAACAAACCTTTAGACAGAATTATTGTAATTCATCTAATTTCTATCATGAATTAATACACATATAAAAGTATAAACCATAGGTGTGTTAGAAACCTTCAACTGAATACCTGTTGTGGACAAAGATGTGTTCAATGAGCAGGGTAACAAATTCGCGGCCCCTCCACTCCGTGATTGAAGGGATACCATGCGTGTTACCAAAATGTCCGGTAAAGGGGTACTTTTCACGAACCAAAGTCTGGCTCGTACATACACAAAAAAGACTTTACACACCGGACATAAGGGGTGTTTTCAAAAGGAGGGAACACGCATATGCGTACCCTAAATAACACTGAGTGAGGGGGGGGGGGGCCGGAAACAATTTATGATCTTCAAAACAGAATGCCTCTAGCACCACCATCAGTGGTCCATGGCTTAAAAACAATTATCAGAAAAAATCTTTGCATACCCGGTAATAATTCATTTCAAAACAAACTTTGAACAAAGATACATCTGTATATAAAAAGGAAATATATATTCAATCTGACCATTATTAGTACTGACATCACTACAAATGTACAAGGACTCCCATGATTTATATCTCTGTATTAAAAAATAAGACATGATCATGTATTGTAAAAATACCTCTCGGGCTTATCTCATAATTCACCTAATTTTAGTGAGTGTTTTCACAACTTTTTACAACCTCTGGTATTTCCCTTTTTTCCTATAAAAAAAAAATCATAAATTATTTTATAATCTCCATTGTTTCATTTACTGATTCACCACAAACAAATGTGATGAATATTGCTGGGAGAAAGGAATTAAAGAAGGCCTCATGCAAGCACTGATAAGGCTTAAAGGGCTATTCCATACCTTCCTCTTCTCACGTGTCTGCATAGTGAGAGAAGAAAGACAGGGTGAGATGAGACGATCAGCAGCAAATTATCACAAATTATTTTATAATCTCCATTATTTCGTTTAACCAATTCACCACAAATGAATGTGATGAATGTAGCTAGGCCGGAGAAAGGAATCAAAGAAGGCCCAAGGCACTGACAAGGCCGGGCTATTCCATACCTTTCTCTTTTCACTTGTCTGCATGGTGAGAAGAGAAAGGCAGGGTGGGATGAGGTGATCAGCTGCTATCTTTTGAACCATATCTGCTGCTCATCACAAGATCTGAAAAGGAAAATAAAAGCAAGTATTAATGAATGACATAGCATACCAGTAGCAACAAGAATACACCATTTTTGTAATGTAATCAAATCCAATTAAAGCACAAATATTTGTTACCGGTAAGTGCCTCATTATAGGTTATTTTATTCACCTATTACTAATATTTGTATTTCAATAGTCAGAATGTGAAATGCGTGTTGTTAGGTAGGGCATGCCATAATGTTTGTCCTACCTATGAACTATTGTAAGCAATTTGCATTCTGACTATCATTATTATTTTCTATTATGCATAACAAGTGAATGAAATAAATTGTAATTACGAGGCACTTAACAAAGATTTGTCATGCATGAAGTTTGATTACATTCCAAAATGGTCTATTGCCAATGGATGAAACTGATATGCTACTGTTTAATACAGCATCTTCATTATGCCTCCATCAAATTATAAATCGTCTTCAGTGGCTTCTCTTGAGATGGAACCTTTAAAGGGATCCTTTAACAATGTTAAAACCTGAGATACACGGACCTACGTGTTATCAGTTTCTGTGATATGGTGTGATATTGACGCCCTAAAAAAAAAAGGCGCTTTAAAATGATCAAGAAGTGCCTCAAAAAAGTAACGTTTTCCCCAATAGACTGTAGTGTTATGAAAACCGATTGGCAAACGGTTTTCAAAATTTGTAATTCCAATCATAAATATCTTGATAATCAGACAGGTGATCGGCTTGGAAAAGTCATGGGGTTCCTGACTGACCTTAAGGTTTATAATTATCATTGCAGCATGAGCTAAATCCAAAATTTTGTTTCAGAATCTGAGACAAAGTTACCGGATCCCTTTAAGTTTACTGAGTCATAATCCACTGTGTGCCTTGGATGTGTCTGTTGGTGACTTATAAGATCTCCTCTGCTATTACTCTCAGGATAGGCTCACAATGAACAATGATCAGGTTTTGCAAAGAAAATATGTTCGTAAAGTGTTCATCTTTAAAGCTTATCTGTACTAGTTTATAGGAGGGATTAGACCACCCTGCAAGGTCACTGGACAGGTGGTTATCTCATCAACTCAGCTCTCAATTAACATACCGGTAAGAAAAAGAGGATCATGGGGGACTAATGGTCACCGATTAGGCATAGTTTCTATATAGAGGGAGCAAGTAGCTACAAGTAGGACAGTGTTGATCTTTAAAGCAAAAGTTAACAAGTAGCAACATGAGATATAGATGAAATAAGAATAAATCCAACTGGTAGGATTTATAGACTGCCGTTTGGGGCGCTGGTATATATCAAATTTTTGCTTCAGTAGCTTCAGTGTATGCCAAAATATTTTAAAGACTCCTGTTTAAAAAAAATGTACGTCACTTTCTATAAAATTGCTGACGGACTGTGAAGTTGCTGGGTAGGGAAGAGAGTTTAATAGAAACAACATCATCTAGATCTAACCCCGGCACAGAGCAAATACCGTTCAGGTACTCATACAAGACGTGATCTAAAATGTATAATCATTGTTTACCTATTAAACATCCACAGTTTCATTCGCTCCTGTCCCCATCATCTGCATCCTAAAATATCATTGAAAGAGAAGAAAATGTCAACATAGAAAAGGTCAATGTTGTAATAATTTACAAATAATGCCTTTGAAGATAATTTTTGCCATATGTAATATTACATTACAAAATTAGAGCAATCCACTGCATTTTAGTGTTTAAAAAATATTAAAAAAGTGGGGAAATTGTCTAATTGCATAGCAATTTATAAAGTGACCCACATGCCAATTTAACAGGCACAAAGATGAATAGATATGGTGATCTTGGATTAGAAACATGAACTTATTACAGGTCTTTTTTTCTTCAACCTTTATCAAACCATTTTTCTAATTTTGCTGATTTAATCCAGCCCCCCCCCAAGAAAACACTCACACACATATTAACACAATCTGGAGTGACCTACAAGGCTATGGGGTGCACATACATTACATTGCTTCATTGATCTGCTTCATGCAGTGAATTACAAACAAAAGGCAAATTGATTGCAATACATGCCATGTGATGATGAGTTTAGGCATTGTGCTAATTTCAAAACACTTGAGAAAAATTGTTTTGAAATGGTACAAGCCACTGATTCTCTCTTTATGGATTAACAGAAAACTTTCCTTCTATTGCTTTCTATCTCAGTCTGGCTAACACACTTTTAAAAAAATTGGTTGTAATTACACAACATTTTTCTAAATTAATATATTCACATCACTTTTTCTTCATGAGCAGTCCATAATCCTTAGCACTTTGCAAAAAAATTTTTAAAAAAATTGGTTGTAATTACACAACATTTTTCTAAATTAATATATTCACATCACTTTTTCTTCATGAGCAGTCCATAATCCTTAGCACTTTGCATTGCTTTGTTTCGTAGTTTCCAAATGTTCATTACTAGCACACAGGAAGTGAAAGTAATGCTTTCTATTTGTATCTGGCAAACACACTTAAAAATATGGCTGTACCGGTAATTACACAACATTTTTCTAGATTAATTATTTCACATCATGTTTGTGAAGAGCAGTCCATACTCCTTCACAATTACTTTCCAAACATTTCCATACAGGCACACAGAAAGTGAAAGTGACTATATATAATTACCTCATATGGAATGTCATCAACTAGCTGGAATTTCTTTTGTCTATAAAGGAAACGCTTCTTGAGTAGATATAACACACAGATATCTGCCATTATACTAGCCTGCGTATAGAAAGGAGAGATCGTGACAGAAAAATTAACAATAATATGTCAGTATGTTGTATAATGTTGATATTGGATATTTACATGTATATAGCGCACATATCCACCATGCATGGTGCTCAAGGCGCTCTAGCTATTATCCCGGCTCTGCTAGGCAACTGATTTCGGCGCTCACAGCTTTCAAGGAATTCCTTCCTACCTGTACCCATTTAACACCTGGGTGGAGAGTGGCAAATGTAGATTAATATCTTGCCAAAGGACATTAGTGCCGTGGCTGGACTTGAACCGCGGACCTTGTGATCCACAGTCCAACGACTTATCCACTAGACCACAACACCTCTACACATATCATATAACACGTATATAATCTGACATTGTACAATTTTGAAAGTGTTATTCTGATTATAACTGTGTTTCTGAATAATGCTTTCCAATTACAAAGGCACTAAAAAGTGCATTATTACCTATTCTCACCTTGAAGTATACTTGCAATTAAGTTCAATAAAACAATACTTCTTTGATAACTCACTGTCGAGTGCAATACCAATGGTGATGGCAGGTCTTATTTTAGGGTTTCATTTTAAAATCTGGACTTATATAGCGCTTAATATAAAATACCGTCTCTAAGCGTTTTACAGATATTATTACCCTGGTCATAGGATTCATTCACGCACTATGTGCACCACCTGAATTTACATGAGCATGCCTTATGTCACTACTCAACTTAATCCATTTGATGAAAAATTAGATGCACAATAAAATAGCCCAAATTAGTTGAGATTCTTGCCATCGCATGAGTGGCAAATAAACCAACATATCCTCCCCCTACATAAACCTCAAATATGTTTATCAAAAAGAGGTATCAATCTAGATGTCTCCTGGGAGCTAACCAGCACCTCATTTAAAAAAATAAAATCTCACTTTTGATTTGAAAATCTTTTAACTCACCAATGAGAGCAGTGCCAACCCCGATGCAATATTGAGAATGAGAGGAACCACGTCAAATTTTCCTGCTTCCCCCGAGACTATTACTTGGAAGAGTATTCCATATGCCTTTGTCTGGGTCCTGTAATCTGTGTCGTTCTCTTTATAGTTTATAGAGTACCTGAAATAAAATACACATGTAGTATAGGTTGAAGTTGACATTAAAGGCCCACTGCACTACTTGCGCCCTCTATATAACAAACAATGCCTAATTGGTGACCATTGGTCCCCCATGATCCTCTTTTTCTTATGTTAACTGAGAGCCGAGTTGATGAGATAACCATTCTGTCCAGTGACCTTACAGGGCAGTCTAATCCCTCCTGTAAACTACGGCAGATAAGCTTTAAAGATGTACATGCGTGGGAGTATAATCGTTTGTGAAGTAGGCAACTTGGCGAACACTGAGCCAACGGTATTACGCTCCCGTATGGTCGTACGCATAAAGGGACACTAGAACGCAACGGGAGTGTAATACCCATTGGCTCAGTGTGCTGCCCTCTATATACCCACGCATGAGCAACTTTAAGGGGAATCAACCCTTCAGTAGAGATTCAGTAGAGTTTCAGTGGAAGGAGAAATTATCAGGCAAGCATATCAGTAAAAGTTTCAGAAAAATTAGAACAAATCACTAACAAACAAACAAACAAAACATAGGGTTTATTTGTTGGGGTCTAAAATAGAACATATTTTCCTTCCATGGAACATTACCCAACATATCTAAAAATTCCCTCCCAAAATTGTTTTCTTTGAAAATCGATAATTTGGGGATACAATTATGCTATAGACCGTCATCACCTGTGATTCCCTAGATCAATAGTGACCCCCTCAAAATTTATAAATCTATGACTCTTTGTCAAATTTGAATTGATGTTTGGAAACCCCTAGAAGCAAAGTTTATCAGCAGCCCCCAATATTTTTTTCAGAAGGAAACCCATTATTTCATTAAAAAATTCTTCTCTCGAATGATACCATATGTAGCAAGCAGAAGCAGAAGACTGCTCCTTTCTCAAGAAAAGTCATATCTACTGTAATTCACAGCTTGTTCTTGAGTTCTACCTCAGTGATTTCTGTCTAATAATAATAATAATAATAATGGTGGCTTCTTATATATCGCACATGTCCGTCACACCGTGACGCTCCTGGCGCTGCCCCGATTATTACCCTGGCTTTAGCAAAGCGGCCATTACAGCGCTCTAGCATTTCAAGGAATTAATTCCTGCCAGGTACCCATTTACATCACCTGGGTTAAGTGTGGCAAATGTAGATCAATGTCTTGCCAAAGGACATTAGTGCGAAAAAGAAAGATTTCATTGCTCGATCGTGTGTAAAGCTTCTTACCTGAAGTTATATCCTGGTGCAATAAGGGCATTCCTGTTATCCAGTCTCCTGAATGTGTACGAAGGTCGACAGTTATCCAAGCTCTTGTCTAGGTTACAATCCCAGTGGATTACTATACCAACCACTGCTCCCTGTTAAATATGAAGTCAAACAAAATGAAACATCAGATATTTATACAGGATAGCACTTTTTTCCCAACAATATTAGTGGTTTTACATAAGGTAAAGGTATGTTTTTATAACTGGTATCATTTCCAGGGAAAAAAATTAATATTTATTTTTCGGGGGCTACTTTTCAAGCTTGCCTGCATAAAAATAACACTCTAAAATTTGTTTTGCATTGAACTCTATGCAAATTTTCGGGGGCTCTTTTGGGGCAAATTCGCCCTGAGCCCTATGTATTTTTTCACTGATCATTTCATAAAAGCAATTAATCAATGTTAAAGATACTATGTCCCTTTTGCAGCCAATATCAAATTCTGTAGAACTTTGCAGGAATTATGAATATGTTATGTATGTCCGATCTGTGAAATTTAAACTTGAGCAGCATCCTAATATTTAAATTATGCAAGGAAACCTGTTTACTTGCTAGAATTCACTGTCAGACACTATTGAGTGACTGACTGGCTTTTTTTTATCTTGGGTAATAACATACATAAAATGAGCTGTAAAGGGCACATGAGCATTTGTCTACATCAATAACCCACTTCTTGTAATGGCCAAAATTAAACTGATTGAATCTTTGCGCAGCATAAAACGTACGACCATTCGGAACAATGGTCTGAAAAATCAGACTATTACTTACTGGCTCTTTAGCTCCTAAGTCGATTTGACAACTAATAGTCGTTATTTTCCCACTTAAAGACATTTTGAAGCCCCCTTTTTTGGAGGGAAATTCTAAATTAGTATGGTCTTTCAAATGCCGTTGGAATTTAACCTTTTCATTTTTTTGGCCTGCAAATGGGACATACATGTAGTACCTTTAAGAAAGAAAATACTTTAAAAAGTTCTATCATGGCATCCTTGTAATTTTTTTAAAGAAAATATAATAATTTTTGAACAGAGTGTAAATTGCACTAACAGCATTGAAAAGATATCATGAATATTCCACAAATTCTTTAAAAAGTAGGCTCACATTGTTTTTGAAAATACTGAAACAAAGTAGAGAAACATATTAAGGCTTGTATTGATAGGACGTGGCAAACACCACATTTTCTTTGATAGAAAGTGTAATGCGTTTCAAATTTCTGAATGTTATAACACAGAACACAGTGAAATGAGCAAGTCCTTTGCTGTATGCAGTTGACATTCATTTTCCATGATTAAAAACAAAATGGGGGTTTAGCACGCCATATCTGAACAAACCTCTAAAGGAAAATAATTGTATTTAATTTAAAACCACAATTTGACTGATTATAATACATCATTGCCATATGAGTTTTAATATGATGTAAATAGGTACCTGGCAGGAATTAATTCTTCAAAATGCAAGAGCACCGTAATGGCAGCACAACTTAAGCTGGGGGTTATAATCTCCAAGTTTGGAAGCGCTTAGTGATTGTAATAAGCGCTATATAAAAACTGAGTATTATTATTATTGTAATATGAATGACATTCAATCATTCAATTTAAATAGCTTAAAATCATCTCATATTTTGTTTCATATCTCTGTTTAGCTACAGCAAGGCACCTTTAGAGGGCTGATTTGGGCAGTACCAAAAGTAACAGTAGGCCTTTCTTCATCAGCTCGAGATTTCCAAATAACCCGCTATTTTAACTACCGGTATACCAATCTCACATTATCCAGCTAATTTGTGTTTTCATCATCCTGCAGTAGCAATTAGCGGGATATCTTGTCGAGATAATCATCCCAAGATATCTTGGGCTAGTTTGCAAAATATCCTGCTATTTGTCTGGCGCTTCCTCACCGGCCAGCAGACTCACACTATGCGCAAACACTGAGCAAAAACTCTCAAGCTCGAGTCTCGAGCTGATGAAGACGCGATTTGTAACTCTGGGCTTATTTCCCAATCAGAAATAGCGGGCTATTTGGCAATCACGAGCTGATGAAGACATATCTAGTTTGGGGCCGTTTAGTGGAGAATAATCCCATGCACTCTCAACAAAATACTGCATTTAAAAATGACAGCTGCAATACAGGAGGTGCACAGATGTTCTTAGAAAAGATGTCATAATGGATGGTCACACCATACTTTTTTACACTTATCAAGGTCATAAAGAGGTACGTGTAGTAGAGAGATATTAATGATATTGATTTGTACAAGCCCAAACAATCCTAGTTCTGTGTCATTAGTTTTCTTATTGAGGTTCTATAACATTTCTCTGTATTATTGATAAATGCATGCATATCTTTCACCGATCTATCATAGAGGATATTTATTATACCAGAGTGCTATTGATGATGTTAAACAGACTGAGCTAAAGATTAATTGGATATGATCATGTTTATTCTTCTTACTTTTCTGATCAGTACAGCGGGTAAGTCTACCTACTTTATACCTTGCAGCAGGGCTGAATGCTTTTACTAGAATTCATTGGATTATACAAGCTATGCTTTTTATTTAGGCTCGATCCCCACACTTTACGTTGTTTTACCTTGCCTGTCATATCTGTATATTTTCGGAACTTCGTACCTATTTTCTGTACATTATACTTGATTTGAAAATTTTTTTTTGGTGTGTGTGTGTGTGTATCTACGCTTTAATTTATACACTTGTATGACAAAAATTGTTTTTTTTTAATGTAAATGTGGAACAAATAAACTTCCAACTTCAAACTATAGCAAAATGTGGTGTAAACATAGTAAATTACTGTATGCATTATCTTGATGTATTAAACATAGTAAATTACTGTATGCATTGTCTTGATGTTGAAAACATAGTAAATTACTGTATGCATTATCTTGAAGTGGAAAACATAGTAAATTACTGTATGCATTGTCTTGATGTGGAAAACATAGTAAATTACTGTATGCATTATCTTGAAGTGGAAAACATAGTAAATTACTGTATGCATTATCTTGAAGTGGAAAACATAGTAAATTACTGTATGCATTATCTTGATGTGGTAAACATAGTAAATTACTGTATGCATTATCTTGAAGTGGAAAACATAGTAAATTACTGTATGCATTGTCTTGATATGATGTACATTGTCTGATGTCTGCATGGACAGTAATCTTGACTGTCCTAAAAACCATAAGTTCCTAAAATCATAAGGAAAGGAACGATAATAGCAACAGACTAGTTAATGAGAGTTTTGTAGAACAAACTTTCAGAACAGGGGCCAAGGGACGATTTTCATAGTGGAGGGGGGGGGGGGCACAAAAAAGGGCATCAACAAAATGGTAAAAACCAAAAACCAAAAAATATACAATTATACGTTCATATACCTACTTCCTTCTAGGTACTGCATTATAAATTACTGATTGTCTTTCAACAGTTTACAGTGAAACCTGCTATATAGCAACAACCTGTAAACAAAGACCATCTGTCTATCAAGAGCATATTTTGTTGTTTCCCTTGACAATCATTTCTGATAGAAACCTGTACTAAAGGAATCTGTACATAAACACCCCCGGCCTATCAAGGCCGCTTTTCTTGTCATCCTTGAGTGGTCTTCATATAGAGGTTTCACTGTAATATAAATATCTCTGTATGTGATGCCTCATGCTTCCACTTCAGCTGAGACCGACCAGATCTTATTTAAGGAGAGTTGCCAAACTTGATGGGATTTTATAAGCAAAATCTCACACAAAAGCATGAATAAGACCTCTTCAGGATAAAATATCCATGTCAACATACCATTACTTGATGCTAGCTGCTTGATTTCATAATTTGGCAAATTGTAAGTAAAAGTGAGAATAGCTAAAGAGCTAATTTAGTAAAAGACAAGATCAATGCGACTACATCTCTGACAAGCCTCCACCGGCCTTCTGTATGTCCATTGATCAATGATCCTGTGACCTTTAACATCTGACCTCACAAACCCAAACTCTTTTTATTTCATAAAATGCTAATATACACTTGAGCCCAGTTTGGTTGACATTATACAAATAATGCACTGTTGCGAGTGTGTTAGCGCAAGGCCAGTGCACAAAGTTTAGTCAGTGCAAATAGGTGATAACGCATGCGCCCGCAGGGCAAGTGCCTTATTGATATAGCACTGACTAAACACGAGCAAAACAGTGCATTATTTGTTTTATAAGACGGGTCGACTTTCTTTCTTACAATAATAATAATAATAATAATAATAATAATAATATTTAATTTTTATATAGCGCTTAATAATACAAAGCGCTTTACAAATATACTAATATAGTCTAGATCTAGAGTAAAGATAGATATTAGATCTAGATTTAAGTTAGATCTAACTAGATCTAGGTCTAGATCTAGATATTGAAAATTATGCACAAATTAAATTTCGCTGAATTAGGCGAAAGCGATATCGGCAGGTATCGAGCGTGTCTTATCAATTTTTGACGGGAGCTTTTTTGCACGATGGGAAGAACTAATATATGCCCATGTGATGTCAATTGACCAATCGGATTGCTTACCCTCTAAAACCCGTCTTATAATGTTCAATATTAGTTAAATTATCACAGTAATAAGATATTTTGTGGTAGTTTTAAACATATGATGACCCTGTGACCTTTGACCTCTTACACCCAGTTCATCCTTGCACACTGATATATACCTCATCTAACTTTGGTTTGAATCGATTCAATGCTGTTTTGAATCACGAGATGGCCAGTAACAAGATATTCTGGTATTTTTGAACACTTTTATGACTCTGTGACCTTCAGCCTTTGACCTCTTACACCTTAAATTAAATCAGCCATCCTTGGCATGCTCATTCATCCCTCACCCAAGATTGGACTAAATTGCTTTGTTGCATTTCAAGTTATTATGGTAATGAGCTAAATGTGTATTATGGTATTTCTTAACAGTTTAAGAACCTGTAATATTTTACTTTTGACATCTTAGACTCTAAATCTAATATTAGTTTACCTTTGCATGATCATACATACATGTACTTCATCCAAGTTTGGTTTAAATTACTTCAGTTATTGCGATAACAAGATATATTTTGGTAGTTTTCAATACTTTTATGACCTTGTGACCTTTTGACCTTTTAACATCTTACACCCAATATCTAATCAGTTCGTCTTTGCATGCTAATAACTTGATCAAAATTTTATTAGAATTTGTTCAATGGTACTCAAGTTATCATGGTAACGAAAAGCAGGATTGACAGACAACAAGAATTTTTTAAAGAAAAAGGGCAATTAATCAGAGATGAGAAGGAACGTGGGCGAAAGTGCATTTATTAGTAAGAAGAAGGGGCACCTATCGGATTCGAATGGGGGTATTTATTAGATAGGGAAATGGATACTTGTCAGAAAGGAGAAAAGGCATATATCAGAAGAAAAAAATCAGCAATATTCCAAATAAAAATGAGCACTTATCAGAAGGGGACAAAGGGGGACACAAGCAGTTCCATCAAAATCACAACATACAGTTACATTGGTTTGTTTTCTGAATGCGATTATAGAATATATAGCAAGGAAATAGTTACCAGATAAGCAAGGCTATTGAAGTCTTCTCCAATCTCTTTGGCTATGGTGTCTAGTGGAAATACAGGGCAAAACTGGTCTGTGCGACTGCTGTAATGACATTGCTTCAAGTACGTGCTATTACTGTCTTCCAAAATATTACGTCTGTTCCAAAGGAGAATGGGAAAGGGGGGAAAATACAGGAAAATAAATTAGAGGCAGTAAAGCTACATTAACATTCTTTTGAGAGTAATTTACAGGTCATTTTTTTGGAAACAATACGCTATGCTACATGTATATCTCTTCATGGAATGATTGTGAAAAATTCGTACCCTGAGAGTAAGCAAGGTGATGTTTATCTATAAATTGATTAATCACAATTTTAGTCAAAGTGATTCATCATTAATTACAAGTTTTTGTTTTAAAGGGACTTGGTAACATTGTTTAGATGAGAGAATGGTGCTAAGGTAGTGAATTCAATGCTAGATGTACAATTAAAGTTAATCTGAAAGTTTGAGTGAAAACAGACCATTATCAATGATAAAAATTGGGAAAAATTGATCTGATCGATTCCATAGTTCTCCCAACTTTATTATTATTGCCTTGTGACAATTTACAAATGTAATTAAATTGTAAATTGTCACAAGGCAATAATAATAATAATAATAATAATAGTGGCTACTTGTATAGCGCACAGGTCCACCTTTCGGTGCTCATGGCGCTTAGAAAAGAGTACATGTAACAGGCATAAGAAAGAAAAAACAATAAACCGAAAAACAATTCGGAATTCTCCTAGACATAGTAAATTAAAATATTGCAATAATTACAACGAAAGAAACAAATAGGTTTTTAGTTGTAATTTGAATGTTTCTGTCGATGACAGTTGACGTAATTTTAGGTCAATGAATTAACTCTTTAGAATTGACAGTTGACGTAATTTTAGGGCAATGAATCGACTCTTTATACCATTCCTAGACGTTTAAGAGTTGTGGTTTTAGATTTGTTCAGGATTTTTTGCATGTCAGAGGGTTAGTACGGTAGAAGGAATATATTTCATAACATTTCGTAACATTTCATACAAAAACTACAGTTTTTTCATCAACCTTCAACAATGTTACCGAGTCACTTTAAGAGAATCACTGAAATAGCACTAACATATCTTAAATATATAAGATCATGAGTAACAAGTATTTTTATTGTAGGTTGTTTCATTTAGGAGGGGGTGTTCTTTAATCTATATGTCCACATAGAGCATGCCCACATAATATTGCACTTCATTAACCATACAAAACATAATCATTATTTTCTACATCAGGCCTTCTCAACTGGTGGCGCTTGCGGTCAGTCGGAGTGGCGCACGGCTGTTCCAAAAAATTAATTAAAAAAAAAAAAAAAAAAAAAATTAATGAAAGAAAAAAAAAAAAATCATAATTTAAAATTAAACAATTCAGCAAAATCAAAAAGTCGCCGTCTAAGTTAAGCCCAAAATGTAAGCAAACCATTTTGTTTGTTAGATTTTCACTTGATTTTGACATTTCCATGTCTATTGCACCAAAATAACTACATATAAATTAACTTCCAGTGTAGATTTTAGCCAGGAATTGTACTAATTATTTCACATCAATATGAAATTATGATTGATGTTTTATGGAACAAAAAGGTGTTAAAAATGCCACATCTGGGACTTAAAAAACCCTAAAATCCACTAGCTTCCGGGGTCTTCGCCCCCTGGACCCCACCCGATATCAGCTCAGTCGTTACGCTCCCTCGCAACACAGTCACCAAACATACAGGTTGGCACTTCAACCTCAATCAATTTTGGTTTTGGCACTATTAATAAACTAGTTGAGAAGGCCTGTTCTACATGTACATCATATAAAGAAGATGAGTTGTACAATTATTATGCTACAATTAAGTTACAGCAGAGATAAATAAACCTGATAGCACTTACTTTGAGACATTGAACTTAGGAAACTGGATACTATTCTTGATTAAAACAGTGAATCTTGCAGCATCACTCAAAATGGATTTGTTGGTTCTAAGAAAAGAATGATGAATGGAAAAAATAGATAAATTAATAAATAATCAATTATTTGTTTTTATAATAAGCTACATGTACATCATATACTAAAATATATGAGGAGCTTTGATGATCTTCATGCTTTGCTTAAGTCATTACTGATACCTCAGTCACAATGCCAAACCGACTCTACTCCAACTCCAAACTGCTCTATTTTAGGACATCGCAGGTATTTTTAATTTTTGTTTGGTAACTGCCAGGTACCAATTTACCTCACCTGGGTGGAGTCTGGCAAATTTAGATTAATGTCTTGCTAAGGACATCGCAACAGGGATTCGAGACTTGTACCAAGTGGTTCACAGTCTTGAGACTTATCCACTGGACCACAGCACCTGTTATTATGTTATTTGGTGTATACAGTATATGTAATAATAATAATAATAGGTATTTCTATAGTGCCGTCTATCTGGAAATTCTATTCCGAGGCGCATTTATTATTACCCCGGCTTTAGCCTAGCTACCATTACAGCGCTCCAGCATCTAAAGGAATTAATTCCTACAAGGTACCCGTTTACATCAACTGGGTTGAGTGTGGCAAATGTATAGATCAATGTCTTGCCAAAGGACATTAGTGCCGCGGCGGGAATCGAACCGCTGACCTTGTGATCGACAGTCCGGCGACATGTATACAGTAATATTTATGTAACCTATCATATGTATTTATGAACAGAATATTAATTGTATACATCAATTTAATGCAATACAATTCATCATAGCAAGAAAAAACAACATTTGACCTTGACCTTGACCTTCCACACCATCTGGGAGGGAGATGTGTGATGGCTTCTGCTTCATGATCTCAAGCCAGATCTTCATATTTTGTGATGTTCTGGTCGCTTCTGTGAGGGATCCTAGACCCTAGCGGGATCCCTAACAATATTTAATCGCAAGTATAATATTGTTACGTGAAAATGCAGCATTAAAAGGCAGAGAAATAGCCAAGATAAACTTACACAGGTATTTCATCAAACTCAACTGGGCACCAAGCCCTGATCTCACATGTCAGCGTTACATTTCCATCTGGATAGGTATAGTTCACACATCTACCAGTCATTATACCTGTAAGATATGAACAGATATCAATCATTTATACCTGTAAGATAGAAATAGATACAAAACCTGTATGATAAAACCAATTTGCCACTGTTTCAAAGAAATTTGGGAAAATCTGTTTTGCAACACTGGTATATACATGTTCACAAACATAATTATGCAAAATTTTGTGTATTTTTAATGTTAAAATATTTTTAAATGTTTTATTGTTCTTGTATAAATTGTAGCATACATATATATATATATCAAAACTAATTTACTATACTATATTATGCCAATCTTGAAAAATCTTATCAGATCACCTTTCTATGGTGATACACACTGTCACCAAGTTTGAAGTTCATACCTCAGCTAAAATACATAATTGATTTGGTCATAACAAGGGCAAAACAACTTAAATTCCATGTACATTAAAATGTACATTGCTTGCTGACCTTTGACATTAGACCTTTTTTAAACCCGAAATCAAATCAGTTTGTCTCACGATGGTGGTACACACTGTCACCAAGTTTGAAGTTCATACCTCACATAGTTCTTGAGATATCACGCTATAAACACGCAAGCAAGACGGTCGGACGTACAGACAACCCAATCTACATGTTATGATGCCTCCCTCTGGCACAACCTTTGTTGGCCAGAGGCATAAAACTTAAAGGGATAGTTGAGTTCTGTTGCAGAGGGCGCTACACAAAATAATTTGTTTGTGAGATAATGAAAAACTGAGTGTCAAATTTGAAAGAACATAATATTTAAATGACAAATTCATCTTTGTTTGATCAAAATCGGTTCAGAGACAGCTGAAATATAATGATTTCTAATATTGAGTACCACCACAAATATTAGATATTTTGACAAATTTGAAAAAAACATTAAAAAAAACAAAATAACGCATTTTACGTCGAATTTCAGCCAATGCTGATGTTGGTTTTTTGTTGGCATTTTTGTGTTGCTTATATTATGCACAACCAGCCTGCCCATGTATTGTTATTTTTAATTAAATACTTAATTATCAGTCACCATGTTTTTTTAAAAGTGGAGCTGAATTGGTATGCATGTATTGGCTAAACTTCACACAATTTGGGGTCTAGACTTACCTTCATAGCAATTTTAGGTTCTAAAAGGGCACTAAAAATGTCATAGAGCAATAACCATATGCACTTTGAAGGCATTTGCGGTCTGAAAACAGAACTCAACTATCCCTTTAATTATACTTTACCATTTCCATTGATGATTGGCATGTCTGCCTGACAATCCTCAGGCCCTGAACACTCTGCATTGGGAATCTTAGGATCCTATAACAGCAAGGAGTAAAGCAAAAGCTTGTGTTATATAACGCCTGGCTGGAATGCTCCCCAGGGAGTGGAGATTGTGCACGCATTGTGTGCGGGCAAGCACTGAATCCAATGACCGGGGTAATAGTATATTTGTAAAGCGCTTAGAGACATTTGTATTAAGCGTTATATAAAATTAAATATTATTATTATTATTATTATAAACAGGCAAACTACAAGGTCACATAATTCCAAATACCTGCATGATTGGTTTGTTTGTTTGTTTTATCTGACTGCTATTAGAAAGCATTTGTATGCTTGTAAGTAAGCAATCAGAGGACTGACCACTGTACGTCCCATCCGAGGGACTTGGTAATGAGGATTGATGCCTTACCAAAGGGCACTAGCACATCAAATTGGTTTTGAACATGGAACATTCAGCTTACGAGACCACTGCTCTAGCTTCCACTGAACCAACGCGCCTAACATAATCATGCCTACATCTGTTTCGGCATTTTGTAATGAGATAGATCTTTAACTATCTGAATGAATAATAACCCCAAATGTGAAACATGGATTTGTACACTTTGACGAAGTTGTAGGGAGGTAAAGGAGGTTACAGGATCTATGCTTCTTTTATCTCCCGAAGGGATCACTCACATCAAAACATGCTCTTAAAATATCTCAATAAAGATTTTTGTTTTCACTATCGTGACCCTATTTGACCTTTTACATCCCAAACCCATTGTATCCTCAGTTTGTGTAAATACATACTTGATCAAAGTTTGGTTAAAATCTGTGCAACAATCATTGACAAGTTAATCAAGATACAATCTACTTTCCAAAACATTTCTCACCCTAAAACCTTTGACTCCTTCATCTTGAATCTAAATAATCAAACTTCTTAACAACAAACTATTCAAACTTCAACTTTCTTTCAAACTTGCCTTTAGGACATGTATACTAAAGGTAAGTTTGAAAGAAAATAGTTTGTTGTTCTTATGTTTAATTACATTAACAAACTAGATGGAATTTTGACTGCGCGCAGTCGAAAATGATGCCTCCGCCATAGAGCAATTTAAACAAGTTTGGAGTTTAAATCTCCAGTGGTTCTTGAGATATCATGATAACAATCTCAATGTATGGAATTTCATAAGTTGACCTCTGTGACCCTTGACCTTTGACCTACGTGCTCCAAAATCTAATCAGATTGTCTTCCTATGGTGATACACACTATCATTAAGTTTGAAGTTTAAATCTCCAGTGGTTCTTGAGATATTATGATATGGTGATACATACTATCATGAAGTTTGAAGTGAAAATTCTCCAGTGGTTCTTGAGATATCATGATAACAATCTCAATGTATGGAATTTCATAAGTTGACCTCTGTGACCCTTGACCTTTGACCTACGTGCTCCAAAATCTAATCAGATTGTTTTCCTATGGTGATACACACTTTCATTAAGTTTGAAGTTTAAATCTCCAGTGGTTCTTGAGATATTATGATAACAATCTCAATGTATGGAATTTCATAAGTTGACCTCTGTGACCCTTGACCTTTGACCTACGTGCTCCAAAATCTAATCAGATCGTCTTCCTATGGTGATACATACTATCCTTAAGTTTGAAGTTTTTACATCTCCAGTGGTTCTTGAGATATCATGATAACAATCTCAATGTATGGAATTTCATAAGTTGACCTCTATGACCCTTGACCTTTGACCTACGTGCTCCAAAATGTAATCAGATTGTTTTCCTATAGTGATACACACTATCACTAAGTTTGAAGTTTAAATCTCCAGTGGTTCTTGAGATATCATGATAACAATCTCAATGTATGGAATTTCATAAGTTGACCTCTGTGACCCTTGACCTTTGACATACGTGCTCCAAAATCTAATCAGATCGTCTTCCTATGGTGATACATACTATCCTTAAGTTTGAAGTTTAAATCTCAAATGGTTCTTGAGATATCGCGCTAACAAACTCAATACAAGGAATTTCATAAGTTGACCTCTGTGACCTGTGACCTTTGACCTACGTACTCCAAAATCTAATCAGATCGTCTTCCTATGGTGATAAATACTATTCCCGAGTCTTAAGTTTAAATCTTAAATGGTTCTTGAGATATTGTGATAACGGTCAAACGGGACGGACGTACAGACGTACGGACGGACGTACGGACGTACGGACGTACGGACGTACGGACGGACAACCCGAAAACATGATGCCTCCGGCACCACCTTCGGTGGCGGAGGCATAAAAAGTGAAATTGACCGACAGACATCCTGAAAACAATCATGCATCTGGCACCAAAGTGGCTAAGGCATAAAGATCAATATAAGAAATAAATACCTCTGGACATTCTGATTTACTCTGGCCTGGTGTGATTATCATATTGGTCATCACAAAGAAGGCATTGGTTTGCTGCACACACAGAAAGAAAAGGACAAAAACAAATCATTTGTAAGGATCTAGGCATGTAGAACAAATAATTAGATTTGGATAATTTTCCATCACGTAAAAAATACAGATAATGATTAAAAAAATTGAAATAAAACCCCTCAGAGAGTTCACTTTTTAACTATGAAATAAAATAGAAGTAAAATTGAACAGAAATTCTTCAGACGAAATAAATTTGAAACCGGTCATAGTGAAAAAGTAATTCTGAAGGATTATATATGAAATGAGAATTATATAAATTCAGAATTTGCCAAATTGAATCATCAAGTAATATTTTGTTTTCTTGGTAATTTGAGTAATGTTAATTCCATTAGTAATATTGATTTTTGTTTTAAGTAATTTTGATTTGTGTACATGTACAGCGCTTTGAAACTTTTGTCACAAGCGCTATATAAATTTGTCATATTATTATTATTATTATCAATTTATATATACATACTGGTATGTATATAAATAAATACATATAGAGAGAGAGATAGAGAGACAGAGACAGAGAGAGAGAGAGAGAAGAGAAAAAGAGAAGGGGAGAGAAAGTACGGCCTTGTGAAAAAAGGCCCCTATTGGGTAGTATTACATCAGTCACATGACTGTGATTCACCAAATTGAGATTAATTCCTACTGTGTGATTACTTACTTTCAATACTGTATAGGACTTCCTTGAATGATTTTGTTCAAACGTCACCATTTCCTCCTACGTATTTCCTTTATATAAATAGGGTAAGATTGACCTACAAATGGAATTTTTCTGAATGATGGCTAGTGCTAATTAATGATCTCTTCCTATCACCTGCTATCTTACATTCTCAATGTACACCATTACATCATTAGTTTGTCTATGTAAATATCACAAATTAATCTTTTCAATGTTATTTTTGCTGTTATGTACTACATAATTACACATTCTCCTGTACATTAATAAGGCTGGCCTAAATTATAACAAACGCCCACATTTTATAATGTGGGCGTTTTTCCTAAATGTAGTTTTTACTGTATTTGCTTTCTGTGCACTACTCTGTTGAATTACTTTAAAAAATGCTTCCTTTACAGTAGACATAGACCCTTATCACACTCCAAAAATAATAGCACTCTCAAGACCATTTCATAATACCACTCCCATAATTTTTTAAAACTCAATTATCATATTTATTTGCCCAACAATACCTCTTAATAGGATTTTCTGAAGATCTAAAAAAACTTTCCTAATGAAATTCTCCTCTCTAAAGATCACACCTATATTTAAAAAATGTTTGTGGATACTTGCTGGCATTATGGCACAATGTCGCCTTTGCTTGATCAGCAGTGCTGGGTTTTAACTCATAACAAAATTAATGCCATGAAAGTTAACCTACCTGTGGTGGAATGACGTAGTCCGATACATCCCAAATCCTGTTGTACGGCGTTGTATCCTTCACATTGAGGTTTGGTTCACCAGTGATATTTGTATAAGCCACACCTTTCATCTTGGTTGTTACAGCACTCATGACTTCATCTGTAGACTGGTAACCCTTCTTGTACACAAGCACCCATCTGTTACAACAAAATTAAGCTAAATAAATAGGTTCATGCTGCATTTTACTTGTAGCATGTAGTCATTTAGTGTTTGAGTTTATCTTTTAGATCGATAATGAAATTCTGATATTTGTAAGCATTATACAGCAACAGAATACAAATCAGATTCAAGCGCCGCAGCCAGCCATGCGTCAGTGGCGGGCTATGGGTCGTTTATTAAATTTCTATTTTGTTCTCCCAGTGATAACATAATGATGAGGGGTTTTCATGGACCAGTAGATCTGAGATTATATTATCAAAAAAAAAGAGAAGAGTATGAATTTACAAATAGTACCAACAAAAAAAAAAAGAAAAAAAAAAGTGAAAGGCGTAAATATTCTAAAAAAGAATGAAACGCCGATAATACCAAACAACAACAACAACATAGTTCCACAACTACCTTCACTTCCACCGGCTAATTGCTGGAACTGTAATTTTTAGTCATTCATAAACTTTGCACTATTTTGAAGATTTGAGATTTCTTCCTTATTATTCAGGATTTCAGTTCAGAAAGTAATATTTTTGTACAATAATTAAAACTATGTATCATTTGTTTTAAAATGCAAAATTTGTTTGGTTTATATTTTACAAACTCCAAGCATACAGCAAAGGTGTAGGCCTACATCCATAATAATCTAACCGCCTGCTACACAAGTGTCATGCGGATGCGGTTAGATCTATTGAACCAAGACATTATAAACATCTATACTACTAGTACTAGCAAGACTAGATCTACACCAGCAACAGTTAAAGGGGGTGCACCATGATAAGACTAGGCCTAGTAGTACGTGTCTTTCCCGTGGCCTGACTCGGGGCCAATCGACGACTACGGACGACGCGACCGCAGTATTCACTTCCGTGCAACATGTACGCGAAACATAGCGTGCGCTGACTATCATAGATGTTGTAGATGGCGTTAACAGTATTTGCCATGCTCGCCCCCTTTAACAGAGCAATTCCACAAATTATGAGACAAACAAATACTTTATAAAATGGTCTAATCTAAAGAAATGGTCCAGAACAAACAAAATTAAAAAATGGAAAGGTTTTCTTCTCCTTTTTTCCTTTCATTTCTTCTTTGTTTGTCTGGGTGTGATTTTTTTTGAGGGGGGGGGGGGGGGGCCTCGCACTTGTGTACACCTACCCTATTATGTAGCCAATGATGACAAGTTGAAGTAGACGGTTGATGAGTCCCACTTTCTTGCTCTTGATGTGGACAATCTTCGGCGTGTCATACTCGAAAAAACTGGCTACAGCAGACGAAATAATGGTGCCAACGCCGGACATGGTCCCCGAACTTGATTCGTGTTGGATGTCAATCACCTCTGTCATGGCAAAACTGCACGATAAGAATGAGATAATGCTATGGTTAAGACTTCATGCATTGCAGGAGTAAACTGGTAAAAGGTAGACGAAATTCGCACACACAGTTCGGACGTGTACGTACGGTACACGCCTGCTATCGTCAACTTATAAGCACGTGACTTTCCATAAATAATGTCAGGTGATCAGGATGATGAATGCATGGCTAGGTTTTCGTAAATGGGTAGGCCTAACAAAAGTCTATATCCAGGAAAGAGACTAATTTGCTCGAAACTTCATTTCAAGACATAGGTCGATCTCCACTTTTCTGAGATTTTAAAATTAACGTTTTTGTGCATAATCGTTATATAGGTTACTATTTTCGAAAGATGGTAGGGCTAATATCATATGAATTAGAGATCTATATAATATATCAATTGATAAACTCCCGGATAAACTTATTTGAAATTAAGGAAAAGAAATACAAATACAAAGAAGAAGAAGAAGAAGACAAAGAATTAAGAAGAAGATGGCGAGAAAAAAAAAGAAGAAGAAGAATGAAGAAAAAATCGTGACCTGGCTTATTTTCATCCGGATTTTGCTCAAACTTTCACTAATCTGTAGTCAGACATTTTTCTACTTCTAATGGGGTGACTGAACATTATATGAGATGATGAAGAAGTTAGGCACTTTTATGAATTTGTGTAAATCCTGCAAAGGTCAATGTTCACAAATTACAGCTGTGCCATGATATTTTGCATGGGTGTTTTATTACAAGTTCTCTATTTTCTAATGAAATCCCTAAAATGTAATGAAGTAAAGTTGCGCTCTGAAGATAAAGGAAGTAAAATCATGTTTGATAACAAATATGACGATCAGTCGCTGAGCTAATTTGAAAACCTTTCAAACTCACCCCAATATTGGGGCAAGTTGTTGATAGTAGTTTTTTTTAAGTAAATAGAAAATCCCCCTATTTTCTTTTTCAATATAACGTGACTTTGAAACTCTAGAAGAAACTTCATGGATTTTATCATTGTGTTTGAACGATACTGTTATGCGTCATAATCATATAGTGTAATTTTTTTAAACAAATAAACCCGGAAAATAGTGAGAGGTCGAAAATGACTGAACTAACATATGAATATTTAGTTGGAACTTCATAGTGCATCTACAATGACTTTAAATGGGACGCTCTGTATATTTCATGGACTTCTTAAATTAAAAATGATTATAATGATCAAAACGTCAAGGGGAGTATGTAATAGCTGAATCCGCTAACCGCCATCCCCTCCTTCCGCACTTCATCATCGATCATGCAAAATAAGATGGCTTTGTACTTTGTAGGGTACACACACACCTCCTCCTAAACACACAGAGTAGCTAGTTGAGGGTGCCTCAGGCTACAGCAAACATTTCAACATTTTCTGAAGAAGCACAGCCCCACTATGTCAATGAGGCCCTTACTCCTGACGCTGCATGGCAACTTTGCCTGAGCCCTTGATTATTTCCCGCCGGGATACGCCAGTAATTATTATACGAGGGGCCTTTTTAGAATAATCATCGTGACAGCCATAATATTGCCTACATGTTGTGGTTCTACTCTTCGACGATTGTTCGGGATATTTAATGAGGACTACACGGTTAAGTCAAAATGGCATGACCTGCGAACAAAAAGAAAAACTTTTTTTTTTTTGGGGGGGGGGGGGGGGGATCATTCCCACTACTTGTTTGTTTGTTCATGTTTTATTCTTCGATCAGGTATCTACGATCAGGTATCTTTCATGTTAGAATTAAAACAAATTACGAACTTTCACAACATTATTTTGGGGCAAATATGAAATAGCCTACGGTATGCCTACATTACAGGTAGATGAAAAGGCAAATACTTGTATATACCTACATTCAAAGTTCCTATAACGAAAAAGTGTAATTTTGAAATAAACCACAAGTAATTGATATTAATAACATTTTTTTCGGCATAAAATGAAAGGAAACATGAAACAATTTTGCAGGATCATACGTCACAGATAAATATTATATGCTTACCTTTTATTTTCCATTGACTTATAAAAACTTGCCACTGAAGGGAATCAAATGCATGTGAACCACATTATCATGCAGTACGTACGGTAAATAGTAAGCAAACCGTTTATATAATCTAATTGATAATCTATTAAGACCTATAATTACAAATTCAAAATTGCACTTCAGACTGTCGATATATAAAGCATTGTGTACTCAAATCAATCTGATTAGTGAAGCGTGCAAACACAACGTCACTATCTCGTAATTACACTTACAGATTGGGTAAATTCAGAGGGCGCTCAGGGGGCGAGGTAACGGGGCACAGTGCCCCTTTATTTTTCAAGTGCCCATATTACAAGTTCCTTTTTAATTCGGAAACCGAGTGCCCCATATTACTCCAGAGAGGAAGTGAACACATCCATTCTAATAAGTGACCGTTTACTTTCTACATGATAGTGTCCCTATTAATAATTCTCCTCTGAGAAGTTCCCTTATAGTTATACAAATCTAACACGTGCCCCCTTTTACTCCTGATATAAAACACCATTCTCTTCTTCTGATATGTGCCCCTTTTTATGTATACTTCTTTAGATTCAAAGAATCGGAGCAGCTTTACATGCGACAGTTGCGTTACCACCACAATAAAAGACAGTGAAGCCGGGGGCACAATGCCCCTTATAATCATACTCAAAACTATCAAATATCCCTTCTTTACATAAGTCATTTTGATATTCAGACGTGTACCCCCTTTTACACTTAAATGTACAGTGCCGCTTTTAACTACCATGACATGTTCTACTCAACTGCTGAGAGGCATCTTCCAACCTATACCCCATGCCCTTTTTGAAACTTCACAGAATGTCAATGTTGTACTGCATAACAATGAGGACATCAAGGACAAAGTGAGGAAAAGGTGCCTCTTTTACCACTTTGCAATGCTCCCTAATTTCCACTGATGGAAAGTGTCCCTTCAAGTAATAAAGGTAGCTGCAGTTATTACGTGATGTTTTCAAGGTGACCCTTGAATCTTAGAAAGGTTGCGCTACTAAACAGCTGAATGATGCGTCTTTAAGCATCCATGAATTGACACCACCCAACCCCCCCCCCCCAATAAAAAACTTTCACAAAGTGCTCTTTCTAGCTGTACCTTTAGAACGTAAAGGAATTGACCGTTTGCATATTATGGCAGTGGACTTCTTAAATCTTGACTAGTTGCCCTTTCGTTCGAGCATATGAAATAATGTTTAGACAATGAAGAAGTTTTAAAATTCGAGGCAAATAAAATACACATAACTAAATGGTAGTCATGTTGAAAAAAGGGCATGGTTATAATTATATTTTGCCACCTTCCTCTCCAAAACATAAGAGATTTTTCAATCCACTCCGTAGTAGTAGTAGTAGTAGTCAGGCGCGTACACAGGGGGGGGGGGGGGGGTTAACCCCCCTTGGGTATTTTTTTTGTGTGTAAACCCCCCCCCCCATAACCCCTCTAAAACCCCTCCCCCTTTGGATATTTTTTTTAATTAAAAATATTTAAAAAAAAAAAAAAAAAAAAATCCCATGGCTGACCTAAAAAAGCTGACAAATTTTCAAATTTCGAGACCAAAAAAAAAGAAAAAAAAAGTGTCCTCTTACCTCCCCCCCCCCCCCCTCCGCTTATTCAGCGGTCGGCTGAGTCGTTGCGATTTTTTTTGGACCAAAAAAAAAAAAAAAGTGACCTCTTAACCCCCCCCCCCCCCCGCTTATTCAGCGGCTGGCTGAGTCGTTGCGAATTTTTCGGCCCGATTTATAAATGTTAACCCCCCCCCCCCTTGAAAAAATCCTGCGTACGCGCCTGGTAGTAGTAGTAGTAGCAGTAGTAGTAATGGTTATTTTACCTGACTGCTAAGAAAGCATAAATGTTTGTTAGTATTAGCAACCTGAGGACCGACGGCTTCAGGTCCTTTCCGAGGGAACATGTGCCCCCTAATTAAATTAAAGCAATTAAGGATATTTTATTCTGAATTTTTCCCAAAGCTCGCACGCTATGCGATAAGACTGTGCTTAATTAAACCCTAATAATTAAGTTTGCTAAATTTCTAGAATGAGATGTGATCGGTCACGAAGCGACTTACAAAATTATCATTTTTTTGACTCGCTCTTTTCATTCGCTTGCAATAATGAATCTTTGAAAATAAGAACATATAAACAACAAACAAATGTTAAACAATGCCGGAAATATTAGAATAAAGACTTGATTAGCCAGCCAAAAACAACTGAAAGGTCGCTATATCATGGTAAATCACTCGCTGCACAATATGACTATGTAAAAGCGAATTAAGTAGAAGATTAATCATTAAAATACAAAGACCACTTCCTCAGATGACTCCTAATCCCCCTTTTATTTTTAGCTACGACATATTCAATTCTCTGTTTACTTTATTTTACTGAAGCTAAAAACAATTCAAAGTCCAAAGTTGACCCCTGAAATCTGCATCCGGAGATAAAGAGCTTTAAATAGAGGAATACAAATGTATACATGAATCTAGGACATGAGTTTACCCCAAACTTGAAAATGATCCTTGATCAGTCTTTAGTTAGAATATAAGGTCTCAGAATACATGTTTACGTTTCCGCTTTAAGCTTACCATTCGTAGGTGCCCCACCCACTTTGAAAGACACTCCACAGCACCTGAAAATATCTACAGCTTAAGATAATGATTTCTCATCATTATTTTCACAAACAATAACGTAGCTAAGGGGGGGGGGGTAAAGGAGGGTCAAACTGTCCCCATCTCCCTATCATATTAAGTCATTTTGTCGGCACACTACCAAATTCTATGCATTTCGAAGCGCAATTCAACCATTTCAGTTGCTTTGAATTTCGTGCTTGTTACGCTGCCGAGCAGAAAATTTAAAAACTGAAGAGCTGATGTTTGCCGATCATTTTTAATTATCTTTTGTGTGTTACTTTGATACAAATTTAAAATACATATACATGTCAGTGGCGGATCCAGCCGGCGGGAAGAGGGGGGGGGGGGGCCAATCCGTGAGAAAATATTAGTTGCGACTCAGCTGTCGGTGAATAAGCGGGGGGGGGGGGGGGATAGGAGGCACTTTTTTTTGGTCCAATTTTTCAGGAAATATTTTGCGCCTACTCAGTCAGCCGGTGAATAAGTGGGGGGGGGGGGGGGGGGGGGGTG